CATTGATGAAGCGTTGGGACACATCTTTAAGCTGAGGAGCATATGGACTTCAAGCATACTAAGGAGCTTGGAGAGGAATCTGCATTTCCTCCTTTGGTTCACAAGTGTGAACACAAGACTCTGGGCCTTTCTGGGCCATATAATATAATTCCAGTATATGTGGCTGCCCTGTGCCACAATTTTTCACATGAAATGATTCCTAGGTGGTGGTAGAGGCAGGCTGGGAGATGTGTGGTAGAGTTCAGAGGGTCAGTGAAACAGTGATTTTGTGAGAATAAGTAGAGATTTTGCCACTTTCTTCATCACTGCCAGGACTTCACTTTGCCAGCCTCTTACAGAGAATTAGGGACCTACTCTGCAATTGATATGGATTATAACAGCAGTGGTAGTAATGTTTCCTATGGATAAGAGAGTTTGTGAAATTGAGTATGGTCCTAAAAAAAAGTGTGTGTTGAGGAAGACCAGTCAGACTTTTTGTTTTCATCACTAAATGCCTCCTGTTGCATGTCTTTAATTTCTAATTGTGTGATTCTGCTGTTCCTTACCCTTGGTACTGTAAAATAGCCCTCAGCACCACAGCCAGTGCTGGACATGCACAGGAATGCCTGGTCCCATAATAAATGGTTGGTAGCATCAGAACACAGGCACACTGGATGGGTGAAGGACCAAACAAGCAAAAAGAAGACCAGCACAAGTCTGTAATCACAGATAAGTGGGCAAAGTGTCAAAGAAATACCCTACTGGAGATGGTCGCTGCTGAACTTCTGGGCTTGAATATCCTGCCAGCACATGAAGCAGAGGTAAATCTCTCTGCCATGCTGATAAGCTGCAGCAGCCTCACAAGTCACCCCTGAGCATTGGCAGCCCTGCTGGCTGGTGCAGTCAGAGGGGTCAGACGGTGTTCTCTGCCCAAACAGTCCTGCACACCTGAGCAGAGAAGGTTGGTCTGTCTCAGCCAGATTCCTCACCAAGATGTGTCTGTGTTTCACAGCAGTGGTGCCCCACTGCTCCAGAGGGTGATCCCCAGCTAGGGGAAAACCCTTCTAGGGATCTATTGGTCCTTGGATCATGTGTGGATTGGAGTATGTCCAGCCTGTACCGAAGTATGGGTGTCACACCTGGAGCGTGCACCAGCCTTGGAGCCTCTCTTGGGAGCCATGGTATGGCCATGCTGTGCTGCTGGGCAGGTGCTGGGTTTGGGGTGGGAACCATGTGTGTTGTGTGTGTGGCAGGAGTTTCTTCTTTGCTGTCACATGGTGATAGGTCTCTCTTCTCTGGGCAGACTGCATAGCCTGGAGGAGTTGATCCATACACTACAAACCCTGCTTTTCCTGGGAGTGTGGCTCTTCCACTGCGTCCTGGAATCGGCTGGGAATGAACCAGTGGTACCAGAAAAGTGGTAGGGATGGGGTCAGACAGCAACTTCTGTATCCTCTGGTGTCCCCCGTGCCCTGGGGCAAGTGGCACTTGCAGAAGGACTCTTACCCACCCCTTGTACTCTGTGCTGGGCTCTGAATTTAAGCCTCTCTGCATGCCACCTGTCACATGAATCAGGAGAAACCCTGGACTTCCCCAAAGGGCAGGCACAAAGGACTCGGTGCCTCTTGATCTGCAAGCCTGGTTGGGTTCAGTGATCTTGCATTATCATCCCCTCTGTGGAGGCCAACACCTCATCTGGGATTTAATTTCAGATTGCGTTCAGTGCCACAGCTCCTCCTCAGCCCTCCTGCCCACGGGCTGGATAATTCACTTTGAGAGGGGATGCAAGAGGGGGCTCACCTGAGACCAAGGGAGAACAATCACATTACTATAGGAAATATTATCAGAGAGCTCTTTGTGTATCTTTCCTTTGATAATGCCATACATGTCCCCCGAAAACCTGGAGCTAACTCTGGCTACACAGATGCAGAACAGTGCAGTCTCCGATTCAAAGTGCAGCATGGGCAGCAGCCAGGGCACAGGACAACACAATATTCAGTTTATACAGCTTAAATGGATGGCATTACCAAAGGAGGCTTTCATCATCCCTTGCTACACACATTTCCAGAACTTGCAGTTTTCCCATAGAAAGATTACTTTGAAAAATAAAGATGCTGTTGTGAAGTATCCATTTATATAATGTTTTTGTCTCCTTCCCAAAGTGCTGCCTGTTACATGGCGTGTCCATGGCTGTGCTCCAAGCTCTCCTCAGTGAGAGTGCTTTTAATCAGGGGTTACTCAATCAATGCTGTGACCCAGATATACACAGGGATAAGGCACAGGCCCTGAGGATTCCTTCCTGTTTTGCTGCCCACTGTGTAACCTGAACATTGGTTCTCTGTGACTGGAGGATTAAGGTCTGTGTAGGCACAATGCTTAAAGTGATATCTGCACAGGAGGAGTCATCATCACTGAAATCATTGTGGAATTTGAATTATTTTTCTGAGAGTTACTCTTGCACTATCACAAAAGCCAGAGCAGCCAAAAGGTGACAGTGGTTTGCTAGAAGGAGCTCATTGCTCCCCCAGGATTGGGGCTGTGCTGGGAACGGTTGTGGAGACTCCTCAGGAGTGTGCCTGGAGGGAAAAGCATGACCCTCAGCTACGGAATACAACATACTGTGGAAAGTGAGTGTCTCTGGCTTTGCATGGACCTCTCAGCCAAGTTCCTCATCCCAGTGCTCCAGCTGCCCATAGGGCAGTGAAACGGGGGTCCTGGCCACAGCAACACAAGGAACTGGACAACATGACTGATGGTGTTCCTCTGTCACAGGGTTGGCACTGAAACCATGTCCTCTGGGAAACTCCACCAGACCTGCCTTCCTCTCTTGCTGCTGCTTCTCATGATGATCCATTGACTCACAGCAGAATGTCCACTCTTGGGCAGATGGTGGATCTTTGTCATAAAATCACCAAAAGTGATTTTTTTTTAAATTAATGTAGGTCGGTTTTAATCCTGTTCTAAAACCCAGCTGCCTGAGTTTCTCATTTTAAGCAGCAGAAGAGAGCAACAGGCCTGTTAGCTAATTATAGAAGTGGGATTATAATTTCTGTCAGCCCTGATTGTAAACCCAGTGGCCTCTTGAATGGCATTGCTGGGAGATCAGGGATAACTTTCCCCATACGCCTGTATTATCTGCAGAAACTGTCTTCCCCTCAAGGAGAATGCTGTGGATTAAGTGGCACATATATCTGCTCTAACTCTGAAATATTCAAGGCATATTAAGTTTTTGAAGTCTTAAAAGTGGAGTCTAAATCCTGGCTTTACTCTTTAATTTCCTACCAGTGCTCGAAGAACTTGCAATCTTTGCTTTAATAGAACTAAAGACTAACTAATTGCTACTGAACCTCCAAGAGATGGAAATGACAGATATGTCTGTAATTTATTATTTAAGAAAGTGAAATTATATTTTGAAGCAGACATACTGCGAAATTTTAACGTGGCTGCCCAGAGCTGGTGCATGAGGAGTGCTCTGCTGCGATAATGGGACTGCTCTTTAATCACCCCTAGACAACTCTGTCCCCTCAGCGTCACCTCCTCTCGCTCAATTGTTATCTCTGGCCTTGTGGAGAATGGCCCTGCAGATTACACCATGCTGCTCATCTCCCTCAGCAGCCACCCACCCCTGCACTGTGTCCCTGGGGGGACTGCACAGCAAAATCCACAGTGGGAATATCTCAAGGTGGTCAAATATCTTATTAATGCAATCAAATACAGAAGAATTTGCATAAAACCCCAGGACATCCTCTAATATAATTGCTGATAATTTCTGATCTCAGTCAAACACAAAATAAGATGAAGACACCAGAGTGCCAGGGAAGTAACGTCACCCTTCCTAATCCAGAGGCACAGGAACCACAAGGCAGGTTGTATCAGAGCTGTGAGGCTCCCTGAGATCATGAACATGAGCAACAAGCTCGATCCAGCCTTTCCATGAGCACCGGGAGCACAGAGGACTGACTTCCCCAGCCAGCCTCCCGCAGGCACCCTGGTATCATGGCATCATTTGGGCTGGAAAGGCCCTCTGAGCCCAACCATTAACCCAGCACTGCCAAACCCACCACTAAACCATGTCCTCACAACCACTTGTTTTTTGAGCACTTCCAGGGATGGTGATTCCACCACTGCCCTGGGCAGTTCCAGTGCCTGGCCACCCTTTCCATGAGGATGACAATCCATTGGGGGTGACAAGCACTTGCTGCTCTTTGCCATCAGCTCTGGAGATGTTAATGACTGAACTGGCTGAAAAGCCACCAATGACCCAAAGTGGCCAAGAGAAATAACACTGGGCAGTCCAGGACCTGGCAGCCCCTGGGGAGGGATCAGGGCTGGAGGCCACCATGGCCTGGATATGAGGCTGAACTGGGAGTGCTGGGCCATGCTGGAGGCACTGGCATGAGCTGGAAGGTGCTGGCTGCAGGCATGTGAAGCACTGGAATAAACTGGGGGTGTGTGGAACAGGGAGTGGTGTCATGGGACACTGGGCTGATTGAGGGAATGCGTGTGTGGGGTGCGGGGCACAACTGGGGGCACTGGGCTATACTGGGGATGGGACTGTGGGTGCTGGGCTGAACTGGGAGCACCGGGCTGTACTGGGGATGGGGCTGGGTATGAGATGCTGGGCCGAACTGGGGGCAACTGGACTGTACTGGTGGCACTGGACTGAATTGGGGGCACTGGGCTGTGCTGGGTACGGGGCTGTGTGTGAGGTGCGGGTGTGAACTGGTGGCACTGGTTTGAACTGGGGGCACTGGGCTGAACGGGGGGTGCTGGGCTGTGCCAGGGCTACTGGGCTGTGCCGGGGCCACTGGGCTGTGCCGGGGCCGGCCCTGTGGGTACGAAGCGCTCGGGCTGCCCCGGGCCGTGAGGCGCTGGGTCCGGCCGCGCTCTGCCCGCAGCCGGGAGGCCCCGCACCGCCCGCACGGCCCCGCACGGCCCCTCCGCTCCCCCCCGGCGCCGGCGGCCGGGCCGTGCGGCGGCGGAAGCGGAAGGCGCGGCGGCGGCGGGGCCCTTCCTGCGGGCCGGGCCGGGCCGGGATGGGCGAGAGCACCAGTCCCATCAGCGTGATCCTGGTGAGCTCGGGCAGCCGCGGCAACAAGCTGCTGTTCCGCTTCCCGTTCCAGCGCGGCGCCGAGCACCCCGCCGCGCAGGACAGTAAGTGCGCGATGCCGCGGGGACCGGCCCGGGGGTGCGGCTGCACCTGCCCCGCGCCCCAGGAGCCTCCACCGGGGCCGCTGCCGCGTCGGGGGGGCTTGGCATCCTCCCCGTGGGGGCTGGTGCTCCACACGCAGCCCTCACTGCCCTCTTGGGGTCTGGCACACCCCCCCCAGCCCTCAGACTGGCCATGGGGACCTGGCACCCCACACATCCCCCTCACGCTCTCTGTGGGGACCTGGCACCCCACATATCCCCCTCACGCTGTCTGTGGGGACCTGGCATCCTCCCCCAGACCCCTCACGCTGTCTGTGTGTACCTGACTCTCACCCACACACCCCTCACAATGTCTGTGGGTACCTGGCACTCTTCACATCGTCCACCTGGCACCCCTCCCATACCCACCCTCCATGGGGGTCTGTGTATACCTGGCACCCCCACCACAAACCCCTCAGACTGTCGCCGTGTACCTGGCACCCCTCACCCCTCACACTGTCTGTGGGTACCTGACACCCGACACACCCCTCACACTGTCTACAGGGACCTGGCATCTCTCAGACTGTCTGTGGGTACCTGGCACCCCTCACATAGCCACCCTCCATGGGGGTCTGTGTGTATCTGGCCCTCCCTCCTCAAACCCCTCACACTGTCTGCGTGTAGCTCACACTCTCCATTAGGACCTGGCATCCTTCACCCACCCTCCATGGGGGCCTGGCACCCCTCAAACACCCCTCAACCCCCCGAAAATGCCCTGGCACTCCTCACACCAATCCCCCTTCACAACCCCTCCTAGGAGTCCGGTTCTCAAACACCTCCAGGTTCCCAGGCACCCCTCACACCCCGGGTTATTGAGCCAATTAGTGCCAGGTGTTATTACCGACCCTGGGCCTTGTTGCTGTTCCTGGGGTGGATGAATCCCATGGGTTTTGGGAGCTGCAGGGGAAGGAGGAGGCAGGGTGAGAAGTGAAGGCACTGATTAGGGAGAGAGGGTTCAGAAGACACCTTGAGCTTTAACCAAAAATAGGTAGAAACTATTTAACTTTAGTCCCTTGTGTTGAATAATGGGCTGGAGGAGGTTTAATTTTCTCCAGAAAAACAGGACCATGGAACCCCTGCTTGGGTTGTGAGTCGCTTTTTACCAGGAGAGAATCGTCTTTAAATCCCTTTTCATTTTTATAGCTAAAATCTGAAAAGACTTTTTTTGGCTGACTGCTTCCCTCACACCCCACTCCTGCTTTTTGTTGGTAAAGGATATCCCTTCCTCTGACTGCACTTCTGTAGCATTACCATTGTCCCAAAACCTGGGCAATAATGAGGGAAATGCAGTGATCAGAACTCCACTTTCCGCTCTCTCCAAGTGGTTTGTGTCAATTTCTGTAAGTGTTTTACTTTCTCCTCTTCATCCCCTGAAGAGTAAAAAACCTGCTTCTCCTATTTTTTTAACGTGCTTTCGAGTGAGAATAGAAAAACGCACAATCACACTTCTTTAAGGAGATATTTCCTTGATAAACTTATCTTTATCCTCTGCTTCAGACAAACCGAGGAGTCGATACGCTGTGAATGGCTCTGGTGACACCACAGAAGATCAAGATGGGGACTCCAGGTAGGGGGAAAACGTTTCTCCTTGCCTAAGAGTTTGAAACAGAGGAGAGGTGGCCTCCTGCTCTCTTGCCTCCTAGTTTCTAGGCACATTCTCTCTGACTGTACAGAAGACAACCTGCCCAAAAATGCTTTAACACCAAATTATGAGCAACTTGGTTCTTAGTAATGAGTCTCATGAGGGAATGCTACTGAATCTGTTGTTTTCAGGACAAGGTGTAGGTCAGGTATTTTGTGCTTGTTAGAAAGGCAGTACTATCCTTTCAAAACTAGGAGTATTAATCCTTTGGCAAAATTCCACTTTCCTTTACCTGCCTACCTCTAACTGGACATATTATTCGGTCGCCTCAAATTCTTCCCCAGCTTGTGTAATTGTTGTATGGAATTGCTGTGCACTAATGAATAACTAATTTTGTTCCTCCAGATATAGCTGCTGTTGTGTCAGTGACATAGTAAAAGGAAACTGAGACTTAAAGATAGTTTTTTAATTACAGGAAATCACTGGGTAACATTTGCACTGAAAGCAGGCAGTGTGCTGTTCAGCATGTATGTACGTATGGATGGACCCTCTAATTAGTTTTGGTAGAACATTTGAAATCTGCTGCATAGTTCTAAATTTATTACTACTAGATATGAGATAAATCTGGGAGAGAAAAAGGGTTCTTTTGTCTGTTGGCCCATAGTTCAGTTGCAGATCTTCTTTGTGATTCGTGTTTTAATCTCCAAGATTAATAAAAGGGGGCAGTTGTTGATCTTCACTCAGAGTACAAAAGAAGTAATCACTTTTCCCCCAAAAAGAAAGGTAAGCTTGTTCTTAACTTTATGGCTGAGAATGGTGTAGCTGAAATGAAAATCACCTATGACAATAAGCATCATCAATTCATTTGGTTTTCCAGGACTGGGGTCTTATGAAAACACATTTTGCTTGAGGTCATTTGTATCCCCTGCCTTTTCTGGTGCCTTTGGAACCTTCAAATACAGTCTTTTGGTGCATGTGCAGTGAGTGCAGTACAGACAGGGCACAACTCCAGTGGGAGTACTTTTGGGAACTGGTGAATGGTGTTCCACAGTGGGCTGTGGGTGGCAGGAAGGCTCAGTGCACTGCTTATCCCAGGGATTTTGTTGGTTGCTGTTTGAACCCCTGGCTCTGGTATTTCCCTAAAATAGATTAAGATGGTGTTGGAATGATGCCAACTTGTGTCTCATACTGATTCTTATGGCCTCTGCCCTTTTGGCAGGTTGGACCAAGCACTTAATATGTAGCTGTTTGTTGGATGTTGCCTGTGTTGCTTAATTAGTGTGATACAATATGTGGTTACTGCAGTGATGTAGGAAAAGCTTTTATCCCTTCAAATGATGAGAAAACTGCCTCTGTTTTCCTGAAACTGGTTTTAAATGGAGTGAATGTGCTGGCACATAACCTATGTTAAACAAATACTTAGATTATTTCATTGTAGTGGTGTCCAGGACCCAGGTGCTTAATCTCCTGGTCAGGTATTTGTTACTAAACTTTCAGTGTTTAAAAGAATTTATTTGGATCTGTCTGTATCTGCCAGGCACATGAGGGGGAAATAGAAGAGGAGCAGCATTTCTGTTGCTCTGAAAATGTTGGTTCTGCTAGAGGGGTCCAGCACACAACTTGTGCTGCTTTCCAAAATTCAAAGTCTCTTGGAAAATCCTGTTTGTTTCCAGTTGGTTTATCGAAAAGCTGTTAATTTGTATTAGACAAGAGAAGGTTTGTTGGCAAACTTAGTATCTTTCACTGGTGGAAAAAATATTCCAGTTTTAGGTACACAGATGCTTCTTCCAGCAGAAAACAAAAACATGTCTTCAAAACTGTGTGCAACAGATTGCTGAGAGTTTGATTTGTATCAGACAGTTTTAGGAGTAACAGAAGTTGGTGCCTTGTAGTAGAAGAGATTCTGAGGGGACAGTGGAGGCAAAAGGTGCAGATCCCCTGTGGAGAGTGAGGTGCATGTGATTTGTAAACCAGGAAAGGAAAGGAGTTTTGTATTATTTCTGGAAGGAAGAGTTGGTGACTTTAATCAGTGCATGTCAGTAGCATCTGTGGATGTTTTTGGTGGCACAAACTGAGGCTGTGGAGTGGGCAGACTGGTAGGTTGGGTTGGTGGTGTATTCCAAGATGGATAATGCTGTAGGGTTGGGTCTTTCTCATGTTTTCATGTTTAGTAGCAAATGTTATTTCAGATTTATCTTGTAGCTGCAATAGTTCTTATGAGGGCTGGATTAATCCTTTTTTATACTGAATGGCTGTATTTAATTTTTTAGCACAGATTGTATTCTAGGTAAGGTTTGCTATTGCTTTTTGCCTAAGCTATTGGAACCCAGATCAATTACTTCTGAGCTGACCTTTCCTTCGGGGGTTGAGGTGTATGTATTTCTTTAGGGCCTCAGACAGGACAAAATTAGATCAGTTTATGTGCCTTAACTCCATTTCCATATAACATATTTGTATACATAATTGGATTTCCTTTAGCTTCCACTCTCAATTTCCTGGTCATTGTTATGCTTTTTGATTTTTTTTTTTATAGACAATGGCAGCCTGTTCATGATAATCCTCCCTCCAGGTTACTCATGTGTGTTTGTTTGTATTAAATTCTGCCAGTGGAGCTGTACTGGGTCTTCAGAATATAGATTTTACTTCCTGTTAAAAGCAAGTTGAGCAGCAAAAGTGGTTGAGGTGTGTGGATGGTGGCCATGCAACAAAAAGGTATTCAGAAGACTGTTACTGTCAAAACAAATTTCCTGTCAAGTGTCTCTCTTTGTTGGCTCCCTCTCAGCCTTTCATCATTTGCTCTTTTTAAAAACATCCTTCAGTTTTCTGAGTGCTTTTCCAGGAATACACCCCCCCATAGCTTATGGAGATGCCTGCCAGCCTTTTTTTTTTTTCCCCCCTGAAAAAAACCGTGAGGCAATCACTCCTCTTGAAGCCATAAGATAATGCTTTATTAAATTGGTTTGAAATGTTTTTTGTAGCTTTTCTGAAGGTGGTGTAGTCAGCAAGCAAAAATTCTAATGAAGAGGCACGTATAGTAACATATGTTACACCAGACTCTGCATTTCTAGTGGCATGACTGACTAACTGGAGGACGTTTAGCAAATTTGGCAGCACTGATGTCATTAATTGGCTTCTGTTATAAAAAACCCCAAGTTAGTGACAAACAAGGATTTGACTGTCCCTTTCTAACAAACAGTAGTTCTCCTGTGATAACATTTCTGTCTCCTCTGTCCCTCTTTCACTGGACTCCAGTGTTCTTCCCTGTGTTTGTTCTGAAAGGCTTCCTTTCTGTGAGCCTGTGCTTTTCCATTCATCCACCCATCCCTTGAAACACCCTTCCTGTAATGTCACTGCCTTTGTGTAGTTTGTCATTTAGGTTCTCTGAGTTCTCTTCTCGGCATGACCAGCAGAAATCTGCTGTGTTTTGCGCTAAGTAAATGTTGGAGGTTTTCATTTTGTCTCTCCTTTTTAATGTGGACAGTATAAAGCTTTTATCTGATTAATTTTTCAGTATATTTAGGAAATCTGTTTCAGGAAGCAAGTCCTTTTGTATCTTGTTAACTGGGGGGAGGGAGAAAGTAGTTGACTGTTAAAATGGGAACAGGTATTTCTGATATAAAAGTGAGCACAGCTGCTTACAGAGCCCTGTAAGGGGTTTGGATTCTTTGCCTTGAAAACTTCTTCTCTCTAAGTTTGTACTTATTGCCTGGGGCAGACAGAGAATGACTTCACGTGTGCTGCAAGTCTGGCCAGACTTGCACCTGCTGTGTGGATCCCTGGGGGAGCAGCAGTGGTTCTGTGGGCCAGGGCCTTTACAAAACCCTGCAACAATAAACACTGGGCACCCTCTTTTCCTAAGTCTTGTGTGTATGGAAGCACCAGAGTGAGTTGGGAAAAGCTGTGGGTCATTTGGGGCTGCATGGGTTGGGGCTGCATGGGATGTCTTTGGTGAAGATGGCAGGAATAAACTGGAGTTTAGGATCTGCTCTAAATCAGACTGCGACCTCTCCTGTTTCTCTTAAGGTAAGCATGAATTAAAAAGGGTGGTGCAAATCCAGCTCCATAAATGCAGTGTTTTGTGGGAAAACACGTTGCAGCAGCCAGTGTTTACTGCAAGGACTACATTGCCTTAGCCTGTTTTCTCCGTGTTGTCAGTCTAAGCCTGCAGTATATCCCTGGAATTCACCTTCCATTAACTTTTGACTCTTCTCAACAATTATATTTCCTTTACAGGAGTTTAACCCTTTAATAGTTCATCCTAGTTTTTAATATTATCTCTTTTTTTTTCTTTTGTATTTTGTGTACTTGCCTCGTTTATTTTCTTTTGTTGTGTTTTGTTTTGTGTTTATGGCCATGTTCCCATTTCAGAGACCAATGTCCTCTAACTGATGAGCAATTGGTTTCGGGGTAAGACCAAACGTTCTAAACAATCACCTTTGTCTAGAATGGCTTTCCTTTCTCACCATCCTTTTAATTGTGCTTTGTTTCTGGTTTCTGTTTTACACCGAATGATGAGATAATTATATGCTAAATCACAGTGTCTGTAGGAAATGTATTGCTAAAGGTTTGTGCCAAGATAATTACAAAGGTCCTACTAACATTTCTGTGCTTCCTGTAGGGAATCCAGGATGGGTGTGGTACTGTCCCTTCTGTGAACTGGGAAAAGCTGTGAGAATGCAACAAATAAAGCCTTGGCATTGTAGTCATTCCAGCAAGGAGCCCTAACCCAAATTGCTTTCTGATAAGCAATGACTTAAAAGCACAGATCAGTGAGCAAACGATTTAATCCCAGAGTAATGATGGAGAGCTCTTCAGAGACCTGGTTTTGAGCAGCTGTGCTGGTTGCTTGCTCTTGGTGCCCCACTAAGCTAAATGGGATGTGAGGTGAAAGTGCCCAACTACCCAGGGCCCCAGAAGTCAAAAATGCATCTCTAGTTGTTGCATAACATAAACCTCACCTGGATACTCATATCCACTTCTAAACTCCTTCAAAGAAGAATTCTTTATAAAAACCTTGCTTTGAATTCCTGTGGCACATAAAAAGTTATTATCTGTTCTTGGGGGCAGAAATGAATTTGTGTTTGAGGTTCCCCCCCCCTCCCCTTTTTCCATGTGCTGTTGCTATGTTGAGCTCGTGAGAGGAGTGGTAGGATATTTTGGGCAAAGCAAAGCTTTTGTTTATTGTATTTACTTTCTGCCTGCTAAATTCCTTAGTACAGGAGAATTTTGCTTCCCTCTGGAATTCACAATGCTCAGACTAATCTCATAAAAGGAGAAGGGACTGTTACTGCCCAATTGCAAAACCTAATCTGCTTCTAACAAACTCCTGGGCTCTGATAAGTCAGTATTTTTAGGCCTTCTTAATAAACTCAAGAGATTGGAAAATGAGTCTTAAAATATTTAAAGTAAAAGTGTTATTTTCTAAGACGAGGTGATGAATTGAAATGATGGGAATAACATATCTGCTGTCCCTCAATCTCCCTATTGTCCTGAGGCCTGAGAAATGTCTAAATTATGTAGAGCATTGGGGGGAAAAAAAACCCAAACCAGCCAAACCAATAAATCCAGGCTGTCAGAGGAGGAGAATGGGGCTGGAGTCCAGGTGACTCTGGGGAGAGCCAGCGGTGATCCCAGGTGTCTGTACCCATCAGGGAGCACCTATCTCAGGGTTATCTGTCCTGAGTGTGTCATCTGGCTGCAGTTCCAGCACTCTCCCAGACAGAGAAGTCCCTGCTAGTGAGAAGATACTGAAGACTTGCCAAAATCACCCTTTTAATCTCCTCCTCCCCACAGAGTCCTGTACAAGGTAGGGCAGGCAGGGCTTTGGTGTCATGAGCTCTCCTGGGGAGCTGCTGAGCTCTTACCTTCAGCACCACGTTTATCTGTTAAAAGATCTGCTGGTGTAATTCCTTGTAAAAGTCATCATAATGATCAGTTTTCCAGCTCCCAGGGTATCCTTTGCCAAGGCTGGAGGAGGGAAGGGGAACTCATTTCTTACGAGCAAGCCGACATTTTCTGTTTTGCCCCCCTCCTCCCTTCACCCCCCAAACATATGCTGATTTTGGATCCATGTTATTACCATCTTCCTGGCTCCATGACAAGCCTATTTTAGCAGCTGAACGGGGCAAAAAGAGGAGGAAAAGCTCATTGCTGTCATGGGGACTTTTTCCTATTCTGAGTGTGATCTCCAGGGACTGCCAGTCCAGGTCCTGCCCTTTATTCCCAAACTTCCTGAGCTGTGCAGCCCAGTGCAGTGGCTGAGGAGTGTGGGCTCTGGAGTCTCTGACTAGTCTCCCCGTGTCTCTGCTTGTCCTTAGCTTGGAGTTTGGAGCAGGGCAGTCAGGGATTTGGAAGTTTGTACACAGCTGCTCCTTCCATAAACCAAACATCAGCAGCGTGCTGTGGTCAGGGGGAGCTGTTTGTACAAACACCAGAGGCTTTGACAGTTTATAAAGTCCCTGTGTGGTCCTTCATCTCCAGTACTTGTAGGTCTAATAAAAGAAATTTCCCCTGGGTCCCACTAAAGACCTGGCTGTGTGCATTTGTCTTAATTTCTGTAGGAGTCCATAACTCAGAGAGAAGCAGGAATATGGTGCATTAGTTCCTTCTCTGGGCATTGAGGGCTCACTTGTGGCCAAGAGATAAGGTGATTGCAGCACACACCCACGCCTGCCCTCTTCCCTGAGTGATACTGGGTTATCAGGGATACCTGCCTGCTGGAGGGGGATGGTCTGCCAGGGGCACACAGCCTGGAATGTAAATAAAGGAGATGAAACAAACATTCTCATTCTTAAAAAACCGACTCTCATCAGAAACTGCTTTGAAATTCATTTGGTTAAATGGGAACCTCTGGGAAAATCAGATGAGGAAAGAACTTGTTAATAACAAGCCATGCACTGTTCCTGTTATACAGAGCAACAGTTTTACTCCACCAGCTGAGGTTCTCTTCCCTGTGGTTTTGAGCTTCACTGTCTAGGGACACCTTGAGGAAAACAAGTGTGTGTAGAGACCAGACCAGTGTTGTGATGCCATCAGGAAGAGCAGTTGCAGAGTTCTTCCCTTGTCACACTGGGTTCTTACCCATTTTTGCAGCAGGAGCTGTATTTTCCAGGGCAGACTCCTTGTAGGTACTTGCCTTCTTGCCACCACTGATCCAGTAACACCGTGGTTGGTGTTGGGAAGGACCTGCCCTGCCATGAATTTGATTTATCAGATGAGAAAGCCCAGGTGAGGCCAGGCCAGGTCTGCTGACCACAGGTCACCTGTTAAGTGAGAAACTTGGAATCTCACTGGTGAACTTTGGGAAAGGAAGGACAAGTGTTGGCTGTATGTTTCCTCTAATTGAATCAGCTCTTTCTTGCCTTCCCCTCTGCCATACTGGGTGGCTTTTAAGATCTCTGTTGTGCTTGAGTGACAGGCTGTGTCAATATGTAGTTGCTTAGTAAGTTCATTAACCTGCAGCTAAATCCAGGCAATGGCTAACTCCAGCTGTTTTTATATTTAAGCAAACTGCCTCTAATCTTTCCAATGTATTTTGCCAAGCATGTAATTAAATAAGCATGACCCTGCAGTCTTTGTCGTGAATGCTTCCTGTTTTATAATTGTGATGATCTGAGAGATGTAATTTAGGGGTCCTTAATTTTAATTAATTGGTGGTACTCCAGGTACAGCAATTTACTTACAATTTACAACACCTTATAAACTTCTGAGTTAAATATATCAGCGTTTGGAGGAGTGTTCTGGGGGTGTGCTTTTTGAAAATTGTAATAACTTCTGTTTCTGCTCCTCAAGGTTTTCAGATGTCATCCTGGCAACGATTTTGGCTACCAAGTCAGATATGTGTGGCAAAAAGTTCGAGCTGAAGATCGATAACGTTCGCTTCGTTGGCCATCCCACGCTGCTCCAACACGCCCTCGGGCAGGTACGGTCTGAGCTCCCCTCTGGGGGCCCTCCTTCCTCACAAACTGCCTGGCTTTAGGGAGGAAACTTGGAACTCAGAACGTGCCTGTTTCGCTTTTCATCCTGTTTTTACTTCCTGCTGCTCCAAGCTGTCTTTTACTTGCTCCCAGATAAATGTGGTGAGTGGCGAACTGAGGGAGCTGTGTCAGTGGTTATAGAAACCCTCTTCTGCTTACTGTGGAAAACACTTTGGGTAAAGAGCAGTAATACGAAGCAGTCCAGCTCAAAAAGCTGTTTCTAACCATTTTAGTTACTGCAAGTTAGCTTTTTAGCACCTCTAATTAATATGGCAGTTAAAAAAAACCACACCACCCAAAACCTTTACAAATGCTAAAAGCTGCATCAGCCTTGTTTGGCTTTTAACTCTTCCTGAAGGTGATCCACAGGACTCAGGCGGAACATGTAGGATGTTGAAAGAGGTCTAGAATTTTCTTGTGGACCAGGTCAGGCTGTTGTTTGCATTGAGACTTTGCTCCATGGCCTGTGTTTTAGCTGCTTGGAATGGAAGCAGTTTGCCACCTAGGCTATTAAAAGGGTCCTGCATAGATGCAGGAAAGAATTGATGTGATTCTGTGTGCCAAATATCCCCTGTCCTGTTCCTTTTGCCTGATGAACTGTAAGAATGATTTAGGCTTTAGTAATTTCTGAATTCAACACTGATCTCTGTCACTGAGCTGCTTTGGTCTCATTTTCCATCAAATTTGCTGTGTCATTCTTTTTTTCAGGGAAAAAAAAATCTGCTTGCCAATTCTGTTATGCATTCTAGCTATAATTAGAGGTAGAAACAGATTGTTAGTAACTGCTTCTTGATATTTAGAGGACCAGACTGCTTTAATCCCAGCAAGGAGCTGGCCTCAAGCCTCAGAAGATGCAAGTGTTCCACTTTGAAACTCAGTTGTGAATCTACAGGAAATGTGATGGAAGATCACCAAGACTAAGTCCTGAAAAGTTTAAACTGTCTTGGCAGAGAGAATTGAAGTATGCTCAAGGTGTGCAAGTCCATCAGACAAGCAAGTGATAAACCAGGCCCAGGGTCTGTGCAGGGACCCCAGACAGGGGCAGAAGGAGACAGGAGCAGGGACAGGGCTGGAGGACAGGGCTGCAGTGCTGAACCCTCCAGGACACAGGCACATACAACAGATCCAAGCTCCATCCTGGAGACAGGCACACCTCTAGGCCCTGGGCTGAGCTTAAATGGGGCCCCCAGTTCATGGCCTAGGGGGTGTGTGGGTGGGGACCCAGCTGGGACTGGTCAAGGCCATGAAGACCTTTTGGTGCCCTCAAGGCCCTGACAGCAGTGGCCTGTTCTCCCTCAGATGAGTTTCCTTTATTTTACTAATCTCATCTGAAAGGCCCAACTTTCTAAATGTGGTGTAAATGACGTTGAAAATTCATATTTGCATTTTTTCACCACGTATTATACATTCTCTCCACTTTCCAGTCAGTTTAATCCTTGTTGCATGAAATGTCACTTCATTTCAGTTTATCTAAGTAAATTAAATTAGGGTAAATAAACAAAGTTATAAAGTGCTGTAAACACTTTTTTGTTACTTCTTGTAGGATCTTCTTTTTGGGTGTGTCTTATCAGCCCTAGAGCACCCCAGAACTTTCTGGAGTCCAGAATCCTCTAGACCTGGCAGCCATCTCTGCTAGTTCATCTCAGTCTAAATCTGAGACCCTCCTGCACTCAGGAGGAGGCTGGATGGAGGTCCTTTCCCATGGAACACAGGCAGCAACCAGTGGAACTTGGCAGCCTCTGCTTTGGGTTTCCTCAGAGTTCATTCTGCAGTAAATTAATCCATGGGACAGCTCAGCAAATTCTTACTCAGATGAGATTCAGGAGTTACAAGAGCACAAATACCTCCTCCTGTGTGCCAGACTGCCTTTTATGTAGCAATGTTTTGAATTCTTCAAATTCCTCCAGCATTTTCTTTTCCAGCTTAGTCTTTTCTTCTTTTGTGTTTTTCGTTTGTTTGTTTGTTTGTTTTTTCCTGGACAGGAGGCGATGTGAAATCCAGCCTGCATCCCAGTTGATGTTAGTGTTGATAGTTTCTTTGATTTTTAAGGAAGGAACAGGATCAGTCCTTACACTTGGAAATGCTTTTGTGTCTTTCCTGAAACTCCCAAGAAATCCTGGAACCTGTAACTCCAGAACAAATAAAACACAGTAAAGTGACTTTACCACCCATCACTGCCTCTTTGATAGAATGACATTTTCACTTTAGGAAAAAAACAACACCAAAATGTCTATCACCTCTTTGAATTTTTCTTATTTTTGAGGCTTCAGAGATGAACTGAGCAGTTCATTGCCAGTGCTTGGGACCTGTTGGGAAGGGTGGGTGCAGCTGTGCCTTCACCAGCTGCTCTGCTTTTGCCCCATCTCAGGTGCTACACATAGATTGGAAAGAACTACACGTAGATTGGGACTGACCATTAGGTTAGCTGGGTGTTTGTCCTGGCAGGTTCCAGCTGTTTGCACTCGGGATTGGGCTCAGCAGGGAGCTCCAGGGGAGGCAGGAATGTCCTCTGCATTTTGTGCTCCATCTTGTGGCGACACTTGCTCGATTCGCAGTCCTCGGTTCTGGATGTGCAAATTCCACTTGCTTGTCTTGGCTCCCACCGTTCCTCCCCACCAGAAAGTCTGAGCCTGCCTTAGGGATGGAGCTCTCTGCTGCAGAGAGAAGGGAATGGCTGGAGAACGTGTTTGAAATCCTGCAGGAAAGGAAAATCAAACCTTATGTTTTAGCACTGGTGTTCTAGAGCATATTTTTTCTGATAAAAGCAACAGCTTGTTACAGGATGCAATTTGAATGGGGATTTTAGGAAAGGAAAGAATAGGTGTGGCCTGGGATGATAAATCCCGTGGACTTCTCTTTAGTTAAAAATACATATATGACAATTGTGCTAAGGATGACCCTTATGATGCTAAAATGCAATAGCAAAGACACCAAGTAAGACTGCTGTCTTACTAATCTCCATTGTCATGACCAAAATGCTTTGGTTTAAGTCTTCACAACTGCTCAGCAAAAGGCAGTGTTGTAGAGTAACTGTGACATTTTAATAATAATAAAAAAACCCACATAGTTTTATTTTTTACAAGTCAAATTTAATGATATAATTTGATTTGCCTGCTCTCTTAGCAAACTTATTATATAACTGAGGCTTTTCTTTCTTTTTTAATTTCTTTCCCTTTGTTACTGGCTCCAGCTGACACTAGCCTGTGGGATTTTTTGAAAAATGTTTTTCAGGTATCCAAAACTGATCCCTCACCAAAGAGAGAGATGCCCACTATGATTCTGTTCAACGTGGTGTTTGCACTAAGGGTAAGGACTGTTTTCATTCCATCTGACAGTGTGATGTGCTTCAGATGTATGAGAGAGTGCAGTAGGCCCACATTCCAGTAATCTCTTGCAAAACATTCAGTTCCTGATTTTATTGGAATATTTTAATTTGAAACAACAAAACCTAAACACGTAGAATATGACACCAAGAACTGTGAAATTTTCCAGCCCAGTGGAAAACAATTTTGGTTGTTTGCTTCAGGACATTTTCCAGAGATTTTGGTTTCAAATACCCAGAGTGTAAAGGCAGGAAAGCAGTTTGCAAAGCAGATATGAACCCAGCTGCCAGTCATGAGTGAGCTGAAGTCTGCTATGATTTTGGTAGACCCTGCAGGTGAGCCCTGTCCCACTAAGCTGTAAAAGAGGACAGCCTGGGCCTGACCTGGGTGTCAGGGGCTGCTCTCTGAGGACTCTGCTCCTGCCCAGGGCAGCACCACATCCCCAGAGCTGCAGTAACAGGATGCTGAGCCCTGTGACTCTGTGCAGCTCAGACCTGGGGGTTGGTTCTGCCCCCGGGGCAGTGGCTCGTGCCTGGCCAGAGTCAGCCCCCCCACCATGGCCTTGGCCAACCCCAACTTGCTCCATGCAGAGTCAGGAGCCTGCTCTGGCTCCCAGCAGCACTGTTTTGAGCCCTTACTCATGCTGTATGATACAGAGACACGTGCCTCTGCTCAGTGCCTCCAGGCTTGTTTTATAATTAATGGACAGTGTTTGAAAGCTGCCTCCTTTACAGTGATCTCACTGCTAAGAGGGAGAGTGCCAGGGAGCAGCAGCTGAGCAGCTAAATGAGAAGAAGGTACAAATGAGGAATAAAGAGGTTTTGATGCTCTGCAGAAACCTGGAACAAATATGTAGTTTCTGCTTGGAATTTTTTTCAGGCCTACTCTCTTGACTAAATGCTGGTGTTAAGGGATCCTGGCACGGCTATTATGTGGTATAAAGCCCTAGAAATTTCATTATGGTCGAGTGTTATTTGATTTCTGAGCTCTGGCTTTCTCTTTCCAGCCCACTGGTTGTTTAAAAATAAAAGAGGAAGCTGGAATAGGTGTCTTTATGGAAATGGTTGATTTTTTGCTCAGCTGGATATAATGTCATGATTTAAAAGCCTCCAGCTCTTTTCTTGTGAAAGGACCTTTTTTTTTTTTCTCCTCTTAGCACTAGTACCTTTTTTACCACTGGCTTTCCAGGGGTGAATAAGATGGACGTGGCCCCGATCCAATGTCTTGTCCTCAGCTGAGGAGCAGGTTTCACACAAGGCAATTATCCCAGCAATCAGTCTATATCAAGCAAGAAATCATTCACTGAGCTCTGCAGGGGATCCAGTGGTTTTGTGCTTTGGGACACTCTTAGGTCAGGAAGTGCTGAATTTGCAGTTCAGGAGCTGATTTTACATTTCACACACCAGGAGATGTTGTTTTGGTGTATGGATGAAGCCCCTTGCTTTGGCTGTAGTTTGGCTGTGTGTTTAGATGCACGTGCAAACACAAACATTCGTGCACACTGAGTCATGTGGCAGCAGAAAGGAGGAAACCAATGCTCTTTCATTCCCAAGAACTGGGTGAAGTGCAGTGAAGACTTTATCTAGCTCACATTTTTCCAGCATCTAATTTCTAGTGGTTCTAGGAAAACTTGCTTTTTTTTGCACTTCAGCTGTGTGATGACACTGATGTCATTGTGTGTGTGATGCAGCACTAAATCCATTTGCCAGAGGAGACACTCTTAGTCCACAGAGAGCAGTCAAGTTTCTGGAAAGTGCTGTGCAAGAAGCAAGGGGAAATTTTTTGCTAGGATGGAGCAGTGCAGCCCAGAGGGTGGGTGGGGGCCCTCTGAGATAAAGATGAGTGTCCATCTGCAGTGGGCAGACAGAGCAGGCAAAGACCCAAGTGCTATAATCAGCACTGACCCTGCTGTGTTTGAGCTTCAGGGTTACCAACGTGTCGTGACTCAGCAAGAACAGTGGAATCAAAAAAGTGATGAGTCATGGTTTGCTAGTTTACATGCCAGGAGATCATTTGCCAGAAGTTTAAATTCCTTTAAATGTCTTAACAAACATGAAGCAGCTGCTGACTCATGCTGGAGCCACCATTCACCCCCCCTCGTCCCCCTTGGCAGCTGTACTTACCTGATAGATTTTTCCAGGGACTTGCATGAATGCAGTGGGAGTAACAAGCCATATTTGTGAAGTGTTTGGGAGTGTAAATCCAACTCCATTTGGATTTGGGATGAAATTGATGGTCATGTGCTGGTAATTCTAACTTAGTTACTGCCTTGTCAGTCAGTAGGATAGGATAAACATCAGTGTAGCAACATGTGGGCTGTGTTATGGCACTGCAGCCCTCGTGCTCCCAGTGAGTTTAACCTGGATATTGGGAGGTTCTACCTTTTCCAATGGCACACACTTCCTTTTCTCACTGTGTGACATTGAGTCCTTTGCTCTCTGCTAATAGAAGGCCCATTAACAACTGGAAAAATAAACCAGACAGGAGTATCACGCTCCAGGTGTGGTGTTCCTTTGATGCGCACAGACAAGCTTAGAAATCCACGACCCTTCCCGTTACATTCGGACATCTCTGAGCTTCAGCTTGGTCACTGCTGGAGAAAATTTATTTTTTTGCCAGCAGCCAAAGAGGCTGACTTTTGATCTCAGTGGAAGCTCGTTATTTAAGTACTTCTCCATCCCTGCAGTGCCGTGGCTGTGGCTGTGGCTCAGTGTTTGTCCCGTGTTCCCCGCAGGCCAACGCGGACCCGTCGGTGATAAACTGCCTGCACAACCTGTCCCGCAGGATCGCCATCGTCCTGCAGCACGAGGAGCGCCGCTGCCAGTACCTCACCAGGGAGGCCAAGCTCATCCTGGCCATCCAGGATGAGGTGTCTGCCATGTCAGAAAGTGAGTGCTGAGCTTCGGGCGGGAATGTGTTTGTCCAGGAGCGCTTCTTCAGAGAAGTGTTGATTGTGCCACCTTACTTTTGTGGCCGGGGTCAGCACGGACAAGTTGTGGTGCTCTTCAGCATTGACAGCTTTTGACTGCATTTTACCTCATCCAGGATCACTATCCTTATGCAGAGATGTGAGTTTAGAAGTGAAGTGGCTTCTTTGCTTTCCTTATAGCTCAGTTCAGCACAATCCCTGGAGACTGTGCACTGAGCCATTCCCTTTGGATCTGCCTGTCAGGCTGAGATGGACGAGCTCACATGGAACCTGCTTCACCCACCCTAGAGCAGGTTTTCCATGCTTTCATGCTGTGTGCTGAGTCACCAGACTTCTTGTGTGGAAGCCTCACTCTTATATGTTGTTACCATGGCTAGCAAATAGTTACAGACTCTTTATAGACTGTACTTCAGGAAAATGCACTATAATAACATGCACTGTTTAAGGTGATGTCTCTCTGACAGTGATGCATCATCTTGCTGCAAGCATTAAAAATTAAAACAACATCTATAAAAACAAAGCATTTAAAATCATCATTTGTCAAATTCACAGTTACATGTGCTTAACCGAGTTGAGGTTTAGGAGAAGTTGGCAATAATTCACTGTTATTATTTTAACATGTAACTTGAGTTATTCTAAAAGCTTTGAAAGATAACTGTAGATTAAAAAGAGACGATTTCTATCCCTTAGATACTGGTTGATATCTGGTGGGGGAAGAGGAAATCAGTTGAAATGCTTTGAAATCAGTTGTTTGCTTTCTTGTTTTGAAATTTTCTATAGCCACAGAAGGGCCACAGTCACCTTTTCATCACATCCTACCCAAGTGCAAACTGGCCAGAGATCTCAAAGAGACATATGACAGGTAAATGGGATTTTATTCCTAGCTCACAGTATGCTGTTCCTCACTGAAACCTTCTGGCCTTGTTCCTTAGGATATTATCCACCTCCTCCTGCTGTTGACTCATTGGGATTTGGGTTTTATACCAGGCAGAGCAATGTGAAGCCTAGCAGTCAGGTGAAATGTTTGCAGAACTGCTACCCTAATCATCACCTTGGTCTGTCTTTGATATCTTGTGGTTCCTCAAAGTTGATGATGTCTGTCACAGCTTTAAGAATTATTATTTTCTTCCTTAGCACGGAGGCACATAATGACAAGTGAACTGTAGAACTGAAAAGTGTCATAATATGGATATTATATCACTGGAGAAGTGCTCCAAAGCTGCAGCTGAAAGTGCTGCATGAGCACTGATGGCAAGTCAGGTACTGCCCTGGCTTCATTTGGTTGCACTGTACATGTCTGGACAGCGAATTTGGATCAGATGCTGAGACTTTCAGCAGAATGGAAAGTGTAACATGCTGTTTCTTGATAGGATCAGAAGTTCTGGCAAAGATTTCAAAGGAGTTGGTGTTGAACTTGAGCAGGAGCCGAGTGGCTCCTTGGGAAGAGAGGCATCTCCATCCAGGATATGTGCTTGGGGAAGGGCCTTGACAAAGGGGCACAGAAGGCTTGGGTGGGCAGGAAGATGCTGTGCCCCTTGGTTGGGGTGTTTGTCAGGGATTCAGAGAATTAGGCTGGAGCTCCTTAGGGCACATGGAATAATATCAGACAACCCCTTTATCCTCCCTGGCTTGTGGCTCCCCTTGTACAGAGGGGAGCAAAGGCACTGGGAGCCTAAAGAATTTAATGGTTGCAAAGCACATTAGAAAACTAATAAATAAGCTGCTCTTTGTTATGTTTAAGAGCTATGAATTTCAGCTTGTTTGAAGGAATGTGGTATATTGTTCCACACAACTCACACAAAACACGTACTAAAAGTTTAAAAACACTTTTTGTGTAGCCTGTGATTCTAATATTAAACTTAACATTTTTCTGTTCCTCTAGGGCTGTGTATTTGTGACAGGGCAAATTGTAGGGACAAATTTTAGGGGCACAGTGACATCTTGTGGCATTTAGCTGTGACTGGAGCAACACAGAGCCCAAACCCATGGACTGTGCTGATACGACCTATGAGATAAGGAGGAACAGACTGACCACGGAGAAGCACACTTTGGTACTGTCCCCCAGGTGTAAAATAAGGCAGTTTCTCCCTCATTTAGGCATTGTGAGTGGGGGAGAAGTGCTGCAAGTTAGATTTTGACACTTTTGTGTTGGTAAAAATATAAAGTGCCTGTCTGCTTTATTGTAATGCTGTACTTGAAGAATAGCTAACAGTGTGATTGTCTGCCTGGGTGATAAGGTGGTGTTCTGCAGTGTTTTTCCATTAATATTTCCTATGAGAGAATTAGAAATGTGGTTATTACACCTGTATCAGATGAGTTGAGAGGAGCTGAAGCACTTTGCCAGGCAGGCATAGAATTAAATATTTTTTTATAAGGTAGAAGTGGTCTAGAAACAGGATTTTTTTCTGCAAGTCCAGGCTGAATTAATTATTCCTGTGTGTCAGCAGCTTTGGAGTGAAGTCTGTGTGGTCTTCTGTGAAATGAGGGTTAGTCATAAGTGACATGGGGTTACAGAAAAGGCAGATAGACAAGAATGCACAAAATAAAAGTCTTGTCTGTAAGATAGGAACCAACCCCACTGGGGATTGTAAAGCCCCTGCTTAATGAATAGTGTATCCAGTTTTGGAGACCACATTTCAAGAGGGATTTGGGCCACCTAGAGAGTGTGGAGGAGTGAGAATGACCTCAGAGGAGAGATAGAAAGATTTGGTCTGTTGATTTTAGAGGAGGAAGGACTGCTGGGAAGGGTAAACCTTCAAATGCATGCAGTGACAATGTGCTGGTTTAATTGACAGAGACTTCTGGCATAGCCTTTGGCTGTAGGAGAACAGGGAGTGAGGTGGAGAGAGCACTTTGAATTGCAAATGGAGCCCAGCTCTCCACTGGAGATTTGCTCAGACCAGCATTTCCAAGTGCCTGCTGCTTTCTGCAATTCCAGCCCCGTTTCCAGGGCTGCTCCAGAGGAGCTGCCGAGCCCTTGGTTTCCTGTAGATGGTGCTGAGGTATTTCAGGCAAGACCCAACACGTCCCTGGGCAACTTGGTTTGTGCAAAACCACAAGTGTGTGAATCTTTTCATGGTTCAGGATGCTCCCTGTGTTTTGAATGAAATGCCTGTGTTTTAGAAGGCAGGATCAGTAGCCAGGACATCTGGACTGTAATGCTGTTGCTGCTCTAGAAATGGAGTGTTATTAAACTCACAGCTTAGAAGTAATCAACATCTAGTTCCTGGGACCTTTTTGGGACTCTAATGGAGAGAACCAGAATGTTTCTTTTTGATCAGAAAATGGAAGGTCTTCGTTCATCTTGTCCCCAAACTCCAGCATTGGTGTGGAGAAACAAAAACCGTCGTTTTAGGCCCAAGAAACTCCAGTTGCCAACACTTCCAGCACTGACAAATTTACCAGTGTGTCTCTTTTAAGCCACTGTTCAATTCAGGGAATCAAGACAGCTTTCACTAAGTTTGTCTGCAACTGCAGGTGATGTGTGAGCTTGATAATAGCTACCTGCCTGTCTGGTTTTAGAAAACTTCTCTTAGCTTTGGATGGGAATAAAAGTGAAAGTTTGCAGAATTTTTTTGGGAGGATTGAATTGTTTGCTTCTTCTTTGTAATACACAAAGAGCCTTCATACATTTTTAGTCTGGTGGGATATGAACTGACTGGTAGATCTAGCCTACCTCAGCAGCTCAGCAAGAAGTGCAATAATTATATGAGATTTAACGAATTATTAGATGTAGCTGTACTGTAAAATAGCATCCAACTACAGTTATTTCATCAAAGCACAGTCCACGTGTCCTTTATAAGGAAATGTGAAATAATTTCAAAGCTCTAAGTAGTTACAACCTCTAGGAAAACCAAACTCCAAAGCTACAAGCTCCACCAAACTAGAAAGCATACTCTTAATTTCTGGTGTAAATAGAACAGACATAAAATGAGGGGTGTGTATGCAAAAATTCATAACTCCTCTATAAATTTAAAGTGAGATTGCTTTGTGTTGCCAATAGTTATGAAAAAAGCTGCAATTCTCTGAGATAATGCTCAACTTTTGGGTTCCCATTTTGGGGCGGTGGCTCACAGTTGCAGTGGCTCACAGTTGCTGTTCAGGGCACAGCAGAGTAGAGCAAAAGAGCAGTGATATTCCCCCAAAATATTCCCCAGGGTCCTGCAGCTCTGGAGGGGATTTCTGTGTATTGAACAGCTTTCAGCTGATCTCACTTCCCGGAATCAGCCCACAATCCTGTGAGCCAGAGCAAATATTGAACAACCACAGCATCCCCTGATAAGGAGGTGCATGGCTTGACTAGTTTCTGTGTTTCTTTCTGTTTCTTCTGAACTTTGCTCCTTGTGTGTGTTGTGAGATGTCTCCTGGGTCTTATGATGGAGAGGCATTAAACAGCCTTTTCCTATTTGCTTCTCCCTGTCTCAGTTTTAGGCTCTGATATCCCCCTCAGTATCCTGCTCCATGTATCCCTCAGTATTGCTCATTGGGTATTATCTAACCAGATATTAAAAAAAAGTGTTGACACTTAAGTTTTCATGGAATAAAATGGAATGTCTTTGAGGGTTTAACAGCCAGTTAGAGTATGGGGAATTAAGCTGTTTTTGCCCAGTTACTTTTAAAGTCTGTGGGGAAAAAGGAAAAGTTGCAGCAGAGTCTCTGGATAGCAGTTAACTGGTAGAACAGCAGGAAAAACTCAGTATAGATAGACTGTAAAATATTGCCTGTCAGGCCAAACATAATGCTCTGAAAAGAGCTTTGGGAATTAACAGCTGATAATTCAGTGAACTGTCAACTCAGTGGAAAAGCTCAGGGTTGCAGTAACACTGCAGAAAATCCCCACACAATGTGAAGACTCTGTAGGAAAGAATCAAGGAACAAAGGAGAGGCGTCTGTAAATTCCTGGTGTGATTCCTACTGCACCTTGGAATCTTGGTGGGATTCTGGGTTTCCTGTCAGGGGCTACTTGAACTGTGTCCCTGAGGTTCAGGGTGTGCAGTGTTCTCACCTTCCCAAAGTCCTGCATGGTCCTGCACTCTTTGCTCCACAGTTTGAGTTGGTTAAGGAGAATAAAGGAGAACTGGAGAACTGTGACTCTGGATACTTGTTTATTGGTATTCTGTTGCTGCTTTTTGCTGTTCTCCCTCTGCCCCTAAAATAAGGTGTACAAGTGAAGGCAAATGTGGGTCAGAACTTCACTTTCCAGGACTTGACCGTCCATCCATCCTTTTGCATAAATCTTTGTGTCTCTGTTGGTGACATTATTTAACTGCTGTCTGGCCAAGGGCAGTCACATGTGTTGCTGCTGGAGGGTATAGCTTATTCTTTGTCAAATTATTAGACACTTAAATTATCTTCCATCCAAGGAGGGGCAGATGAAGGAGAAATCATGTGCATAAAGCCATAATGAAGGCTGGAAATTGTACAGTTGAATGCAAATGCAGAAGAATGAAATTAAGATCCAGATCAGAACTGAAAATCTGGTTTTCTTGTTGTCTTTAATTCTAGACTCTTGTTATATAGTGCACTGTAGACAAAATTATGCTGTGGAGAGGGTAATTACATAATTAAAGCTTCTGCCTTGGTGCACTTGGACTGAAGAATGAAAGGAACCAACTGGATTTTTTTTTCTGTTTCATGAATATTAAACTATGCAGGGAAAATATCCCTGCAAGCATCTCATGTTCTCATGTGTTTCTGCTGCTTTTGGGTAACCCAGTTGAACACCCCAGTTGCTCTGAGGTGGCCTTTTAAGTCACTTGTCCTGGTCATTTGCTGTCATGTTTTCTCCTGTGAGGATTTGACCTGGGAGAAGGTGTGGATAACCACAGCTTCAGTGTGCCTTTTCCTTGGTGAATTTTGAGAGAATCCAGATTTATCTGTCAGTGGGGTGTGTCTGGAGGGATGAGCTGCAGCTTTTAATGAAGAAAAACGGAGGTGTTTGTGCTTTGCATGTTCCTGCAGGGTCTGGGAGCCTCTGAGCAGATGAGAGGCTCAGAGGGACAGTGGGTTCATCCTTTCAGTTCCTTTTTAAAAAAGGAAAACACATACACTGTCTGCTCCATTTGCAGCTGGAAAAATCAGTGGTTTTTTGGAGTTCAGTGGAAGATATGAGAACAAACCCATGGCCTCAGCTTTTCAAAAGCAGTGTCTGCAGTGAGACTTTTCCCTAATGAGTCTGATCATGCACGAGGCAGGAGGGGATCGTGTTTGCTCCCTCACCACTCTGTTGTGGTTTGGTGAGTAGTTACAGCAGCAGCCAGAGCTCCCCAGTGCTTTTGTTTAAAGCTGAATTTTCAGGTCTCTCTAAACCCTCTCTAAAGCCAGATGAACTTGAAAAAGAGCATGTTAGTTTGTGGCCTGCAATTGAATGTTAGTTATAAATGGCTAAATCACCACATGAAGAGTTTCTAAGACGTGTACTTGCTCCTGGCATGTTTTTTAATCTGTTTTGTGTAGAGGGGAAATTCATGGGAGTTATTGACGCAGAAGACATATATTGTGAGTCTCAGAACACTTGAATTTAAAATTCGGGCTGGAATTTTCAGAGTGCAAGCTTTGAAATGTCATTTTAGGCAAAAAAAACCCCCTGTTCTTTTGGGAGAAGGTTTAAAATCAAAGGACATCCTCAGAGATTCAGCTCTCTGGTGCAGGCAAGATTAGCTGTTGCTTAAGATAGATTTGTATTATTTGTATTATATTTGTTTGTGTGTGTTTGTAACTCAATGTACGTGAAAAGATTGCTGCTTCCTCCCTGCACGTTCCCACTGCCTCTGGCACAGCTGTTCCCAGGCCAGCATTCCCTGTCAGTGGGCTGGGCAGTGTTGTGAGGGTTTGCAAGGTGGTACTGGCTTAGCTCCTTGTGGTACACTGCCCATTTTCAGTAAATATAGTTCCCTACAGAGGTATATTCCACCTCTTGTCCAGATTTACAGACTCCTGTAAAACCACCTGAATGACGTTCATGGCTCTAATCTCCAGCTTTCTGGGTTTTTTTTCAGTGAAAGAGGCTTATCTTTGCTTTCAGGCTGAACACGAGGGTCAGACTTTATTGTCATTCCCGAGATGTCCATCATTTCCACTCCAATCCTGTTGTCTGAATTCAGCTTAAGGGCTTAGCTTAGTCCCTGTGGTTTCCTAGAATGAAGAAAGCATTTAGCAAGCACGTTTGTGATTCCGTGTGACAAGCAGGAACAGGTTAGTAGGAAACAAACAACCTGAGCAGAACTGAAGGAGGCTGTTACTGTGGAAATGTGCTGCTTGTAACAGCCCTTGCCCAGTACAGACATCTCCTTTTCTTTTCCCTTGGAGAGGAGGATGGAAATTGGAGGTGAAAACAATGTGCCCAATTCATCTTTGCCCTTTGCAGCTCTGGCCTAGGGAGTTTTCCTTTGCCTTGGAGTAGATCTTCAAGAAACTTTTTTAACTTGAGGTACTGCTGCAGTGTTAAGAGCAGAGGGAGCAGAAGCTCAGTGGTGAAGTCTTTCAGATCTCCCCAAAAACACTGTAGGGGATGATGCTCTGAAAGTACAAGTTAAGGAAGCCCTTGCAGTTGGGAATCAGCTGGTCCTCAGCCAGCCTGGGGACAGACAGAGAGCATTGAGTCTTTGCCTGTCCTGATCCAATTCCTGTGCAGGGGTGAATCTGGACCACTGCTTTCATTTGTGATACATGGTAAATGCATTTATTTCGTTGCTGTTTTAGTCTCTGCACGACAGGGGTGGTTCGTTTGCACATCAACAACTGGCTGGAGGTGAGTTTCTGCCTCCCTCACAAAATCCACTATGTTGCCACCAACTTCATACCCCCAGAAGCAATTGAGAGGAGTCTGAAATCCATCAGGTGAGAGCAAGCTCTGCCCTTCAGGATGTGGCCAGTCCTCCCTCAGTTCTGGGGGTGGTGCTGCAAACATCTGTGCTGGCACAGCTGGGGGATGGTGTGACTGGGCTGTACTGGTGGGGAGCCCTGGGCTCACTCCCTGAAGCTGCTGGATCCGTGGTGCTGTGAAGCCACAGCCTCTGTGTTCACATCAGCTGGTTGGGCTGAGGTGATGCTGCAACAGAGGCCTGCACTGTTTGCAGTCAGAGGATCTGTGTGTTCATTTTAATCTTTGACCCAGAAGTAACTCTGCTTTTAGAAGAAAGAGAGCCCAGGCCCCATCATACCCTATTTCCTGCATTCTGTGTTTGCAGCTCTTTATCCTGCAAAAGTAACTAAATCTTGCTTTTTTCCTTTCTTGTACTCCATTCTGTATTTCAGTAATGCAGATGAGTGGTTTTCAGACTAGTTCTTCATATCCTGCCAGCACAGTGCAGTCTTTTTTTCCTTGTCACTGGGGTACCCAGTTACCATATAATCCCCTATCCCCTTTTTATAGGGAGCATCTTACCCCGTGACATAAAAATAAGGTCATTTTGAACCCAGTTAGAGCAAAAAGATGATACTAGAAGTTCTTTTTTTACCATTAGACTGACCCCAGGTATCATGGTGTGGGAATAACTAAGCCTTCAGGACAAGCTGCAGTTTACTGTGCAAATGTATTCTATTTTTCTGCAGGCCTTACCATGCCTTATTACTTTTAAATGATGAGAAGTCGTTGCTTAATGAGCTCCCGTTGGACTGCTCTCCTGCCCTGGTGAGAGTAATTAAAACTACCTCTGCTGTGAAGAATTTGCAGCAACTGGCTCAAGATGCTGACTTGGCATTGCTGCAGGTACGGGGAGCTGTCAGAGCTGTGAAATGCCTTTAACTCACGAGGTGTTTTCTTGTGTGTGCCGGTGGGTCTGTGTGGGGCTCGAGCACGTCGGCTCCCTCGCTGTGAGCAGAGTGCACCAGCCTTGGAGCCTGGGGAGAGGCTGGAGAAGCAAAGGGCACAGCCCTGCAGCTACATCGGGGTGACAGCAGTGCCTGGGGGTCTCCAGTCCCCACCACTGCTCAGAGCAAGTCCCTTAAAACAGGCTGATCAGAAACTTGTCCGTTCAAATTGTGATATGTCCAGGGCTACCTCCCACAGCCCCTCTGCTCCAGCGTTTGACCAGCAACTTTCCTCCTGTCTAATGGGAATGTCCTACTGTCCACCTTGTGTGTGTTGCCTCCAGTCCCATCCCTGTGCCCCTCTGAGGAGACTTGCTCTGACTTCTCTGTGCCTTCCCACGTTCCCCAAACCAGAACAAATAACACTCCTGACTTACAGCACAGTGGCTTGTCTGGGTTTTGCCACGCTGATGTCGAATGGAGGCACCCAAACTGCAAGTGAAAATTTACAGCTGCCATGGCCAAGTAGGTTGCTTCTCCAGGATCTGCCAAGATCTTTTCTACCAAAGATTTCTGAAGGCCTGTGCAAACCTACATATCAGTTTCCCTTAGTCCATGGGTGCACGCACTTTGTGGAGTCCCTGGAAGAAGCTCTAGATTAGGCTTGGCCAAAAATTTTGAGCCAGTTTTTCCAAGCCAGCATCTTCCCAAATGCCTTTCCAGTACTGACAACCAGATCTCAAATCTGAATTGCTGGAGGTGATGTGATGAGCCCTTGGGAAGGCAAGTTTGTGCCAGTGGAGGGAATGAGACTCTGGCACTCACACAAAACATGAGACTGCTGAGAGACCCCTATGGATGACTGTGGTCATTGGGAATGAGATGTTCCATAAAAGAGAAGAGCCACTCCATGCTACGAGTCAGTTCAGACCCAGGGACACAATGTGTGTGACAGGGAGAAGAACACAGCTCATCATCACACGTGCTCCTGATCATAGGTCTGCACCAAGGGAAAGGTCGTGCTTTGTAATAATATTCCAGCTCTGCCTACAGTGGTCTGTGGTGTTACTTGGCGTTATTTAGCTGTGGGGTGAATGAACTCTGGAAATTCCCTTCTGTTTCTGTAGTTTTGTTCTCCACAAAAAAGCACAGTTAAATGCATCTAATGATACAGGCTGGATTTTGTGTCTCGTAGACACTATTTATGTGGCTTTTCCAGAGCCATTAGCAACCACTGACTTGTTTAACACATTAAAATACTTTGTGTAGCTCATTATTGAAATACCTCAGTGCAGTAAGAAGTTGGTGTTGGTTTCCTTTATGTTTGTGTCATAGTAGAGGCTGACTCTTGTTTCATTTTTCATGTATAACACTTAATGCATTTTGTGCATAAAGAAAAATAGTTTTTTGGGGCGTGAAAAGTAACTAAATCTCTATTGATACAGTTTGAAGAAATTCCTTTGAGGCAGGAAATACTAAGTTGCTCAGAAATATGAAGTGAATATCTGGAGTTTCATAACCCTGTCAAATGCTTTTTGATGTGCCACATGTTATATTAAACCACGGATTTATTCTGAGGGCAGGGTGAAAGGATGGAACAGTTTTCTTTCATTTCAGTTCAGACAAGGTTTTTCTGTCCTCGTGTGGAACGTTTGCTGAGAGTTTGAATTGTGCTTTTTGCTCCCCTAATTTTCTCCTGTTTTCTCAATGCAGGTTTTCCAGCTTGCTGCACATCTCGTTTACTGGGGAAAAGCAATTATTATTTATCCTCTTTGTGAAAACAATGTCTACATGCTCTCTCCAAATGCCAGTGTCTGTCTGTAAGTAGATGAGTGTCTGTAGCAGTGCATTGGGGAGGAGTGCAGAGGCACCTTCCTCCTCTGACTGGACACAGAGTGGGATTGTTCTTCATGTATGAATTTGCTGAGACTCTACAATACACAAACCATTACCTGTGCCTGAACTTGCACAGCCAGTGTGGGCAGGCAGGAGCAGCAGAGCAGATCAATATGCTCCTGTGGTGCTGTGGGCCCTGGGAGCATTATTTACCCTGTGAAGCTGCTGTTGGTATTTTTAGTACTCTTGCTCACTGAATGTCCATATCAGGAAGGCTGTATGGACCTGGAGCAAGAGGGAAGCATTTACAAAACAAAATGCTTCATGATGAAGTTAAATGGGTATTTTATAGGACTGTCTGTGTGTCTGGCACACAGCATCACCTGGATGGAATCAGATCAAGTCAGTGTTGCCATCACTATTGTATTGTGTCATGTGTTGGCATTTTACACTGTGTGCCTTGTCACAGACAAAAGGCAACGTGGCCCTTTGGAGAGCAGGCAGAGGCACTGCAAGGAAGATGTGGAGGCAGTGGTGGGTATTTTTGCTGTGCTGAAGATTGGCAACCCTTCCTGTGCTGGATTTTGAGATGTTTTTAGACTCTGTGTTGGAACTCGGTTATAGGAAAATAGTCTTAAATCAAAACTTCTCTGATGAAAGTATAAAAATAGGGCTGGAAGGGACCTTGAGGTCATTCAGGAACAACTGTGCCTGTGTCATATATGGCAGTGCTGTTCTTGAAGACCTTTGGAGATGGAAATCTTAAAACAGTTTTCCTAATATTTAACTTGACTCTCCCTCACTTCTAATCAGTCATATTGCTTGTCCTGTCAGCAAAGGCAGGGGGAACAGGCACATCTGCAGCTGCAGTCTGCACATCCAGAGATTGTGTGTGTATCCTGCCCATCCCTGCCTCCTCTGGACTGCCCAGTCCCTGTCCCTTTGACCAGAGACTGCGCAGGTTTGGACTTTTTATCACTTATATTTTCCTCCTCTGGATTCCCTCCACGCCTTGAATAATGTCCTGGAGCTGAATGTAAGTGCAAAAGCTTCTAGTTACTTCTGCAGGATGCAACATGCCACGAATATCCTTAGGGTTTTCCTAGATCACAGAGGATATTTCATTTGGCACTTGGCACTTCTGTAACGCGTAAATGGATAAATGTCACCCTGACCAGCACTGCAGGACTGATCTCTGCCTTTCCCTCTCTCCTGCAGTTACTCTCCCTTGGCAGAGGCGTTTTCCTGCCAGTTCCGTGGCCACAACCTGCCATCCATGCTCTCCAAGTTCTCCCTCCCTGTGTCCCTCTCGGAGTTCAAGAACCCGCTGGCGCCGCCCGTGCAGGAGGTGAGCGGGGCAGGGCACAACAGCTCCTTGTCCTCCTGCTCGTGACAACAAGGAATGGTGCTGCTTCTGGAGTGCTTGGTCAGGAACCTCCTGTGGCAGGTTTAGAAGTTTCCAGTTCCAACTTATGGTTTGTTGTTTCACGTCCCCGTGCCGAAAAGCGGTGGGGATGTTCAAGGTGAACAAAACCAAAGCACGGCCCTAAAAAAATAAAGAGAATCTTTGTTTTCCTGGAGTGATGTAGTAGGGAAAACCGAAACTCCATTTGGTCTTGTTGCAAACTATCATAAATTAGTAGGGCTTGAGTGCTAGTTTGTGGGTTCCTCACAATCACATTTAATTTTATTATATTCCATCTGCTCCAAGTTCACAATCTGGTTTTGAAAGCAAACTGTTCACTTAGTTTTGCTGTGAAACTGGGATTGCTGAAAGGCTGTTGGAGGAAGTAGACTCAGTGTGGAGTCAGCAGGAGCCCATGTGTTACAGCATTAGGCTTTTAGTGTTCAGATTTGGGTTAATAATGTGTGGATTTGAGATTTGTGTGCTGTTTTGCTCACGCATCAGTCATGGCTTGTGGCACTTCTGGGAACTGGTGAAGTGCAAGAAAGAGCTCAATAATATAAAGTCTCCTGGCTGACACTGCTCTGTTCCCAGATGAAGGGGCTCAGACCTCTGAGCACGGCTCAGTGTGGCAGAGGAAGCACAGGCAGAGTTCTTTGGCTGATGTCTCTTGGTGTTGTTTCTGGCCTTCAGGCTTGGATGACCTGCTGGCTGCATGAATTCAGCCACTGCTCAGAGACAGGGAAGATTAACATCACTTGTGCACTCGGGCACAACTGGGAGGGAAGAATTTGTTGTAATTACAGGTTGGCAGAGATGATGATCAGAGATAAAGATAAATCATGATGTAGGTCTAATCCCAATAGTATGTGCTGGTCAGCTGCCACCTTGGGAGGCAGGGGAAGAGCAGGACTTCACAGTAGGTACAGACAAATCAGTGTCCTGAAAATTGAAGCTGAAATCATAGCATTAATTTTATTCTAGCTGCGGGAGACATTCTCAGTACTCCTTTTAAAATTAATTGCTTGCCCTAATACTTCTCCCTCAATACTTCTGGCTGTGTTCCTACTTTTGTTTAAAATACACAAATAAAGGTCTGCCACTTATTGCTGCAGTTCTGCCTGGAAACAACAGTGTGATAAATGCTTGCCAGAGCTGATGGGGTGCTAATGTGGCTTTTTAGCTGCTCACCTGTCCGTGGTGGGCTCCTACAGGTCAGCAGCACAGCTGGCTTTCAGCATCCTTTCAGCCTGTGTGGAAGGATGAAGGATGATGCTGTGAAAAGGTACAGGCTGAAAAGAAGACTTGAAAACCGTGGTTGCAGGAGACTTGGGGCCACACTGGGAAGGGGTGTGTGTTTGGAGATGGAGCCCACCATGCACCAGTGGGCTGCTCAGAGCCATGGCAAGTGGCTTTTTGGTGAAGCAAAGTGTGGCAGCTCTTGGGGTAGCTTAGATTGGAGAGAGTTTCTAGAGGTATTCATATCAGTACATTTTCTTCTACTTTGATTTACCCATGCAGGGCTCTCTATTATTTTTTGTTAGGTGCTAGCCTTTTAAGAGAGGTTACTCCAATCCCTGTCCTGAAGTGATCAGGCTCCAATTGTAATTAACAGACATCCAGTCAATACAATTAATCTAATGAGATGTGAATGGGTTTCTGTTCCACTGTGCAGTGATAAAAAATGCTATACTCTGAGCTGTAAATATTGTCAAATTTGCTTTGCCTTTGAAAAAAATCGAGGAAGTTGGGACCTTTGCCTGTAGTTTTGTTCTTTGTGTGCACAGGAGGGGATGTGAGGTTTTTTAACTTTGAAGATTTTCAGCAGTTGCCTGTTATCTCGTGCTTTCCATCAGGCTGAGGGCACTGCCTGTGCTTCTGAAGGTCATTTGTGCTGGAAGGTCAGTACTGTGGGAGGGGGTGTATCTTCTGCAGACACTGTTATTGGTTTCATGGCATCCATCCCATTTGATTCTTGTCTTAAGCCTGGGATTTGCTCCCTCCTTTTGGCATCTGCTTCTGGGTGGGTAGAGAATACAGAAGGCATTAATAGAGCCCTCCTTAAAAAAGGAGAGCTCTCAGAGCCCTTCCTCCTGTTTTTACACAAAAGTATTTGAAAGGGGACGAAGTTATTTTTGTTGGATTACTGTTACATGGGTAGAATTTCTCCATTCCTTTGGGTGGATGAAAAAAATGTGACACTCGTTTTTATACTTGGGTGCTGTGGTATTTTTTGGCTGGTTGGAGGTACGAACAACCTGCAAGGACAGGACTGCCTTGAAAGGTGGAGTGCATGTCTACAATCTGCCTTTGGTGTCTGCCAGTCAAGTAGGTGGGAGATCTCCAGGGAGTGGTGTCTGCCAGCCCTGCCAGTGCTCTCAGCTGTGCCCTGTGCCAGAGACAGGAATCCTTGATCGTGCCATCTTGGTCTCTTTTCTTGCCTGTGATGCTGAGCAGTGTACTGCAGTTGAACTCTGCTCATTGTGTATCTCTCAGCTGAGAAGATTTTGGTATTCCTGCAGTGCTCTCTGCCTGCTGCCCTCTCTCTGTGTTCCCTGCCGTGCTGGGCTGGCTGTGCTGCAGCAGTGTGAGGTTGAGCCCACACCTACAACTCTGCTGATCTGATGGTATCTGGGTGCTGCTGAGCCCAGGCCTCGTTTTCCCTTCCCACTCCCAGGTGTGTGCACACACACACCTTCCTCCCTTCCCTCTTCCCTTTGCTACAGCTCTGGCTCCTGTCCAGCTTGACTCCATTCCTTTCACTTGTTTCAACTGCACTAGTTTTCTGCCAGGTTAGCAGGTGGAATTCGCTCAGGGGAGGTCCATCGAGCTCCAGGGCTGGCACAGAGCGAGGGGGGATTTCTGCAGACCTTGTGCAGCTGGGGGGGTGAGGGGAACAGAAGCTGTTCTCCCCTTCTCACAGGGAGTTGTCTCTTGGCTCCACCAGGCTGTGTAGTGTCACCAGGACTCAGCAATCCAGTGCAGCCTGGGACTGTCCTGGATCTCACCAGGGTGCAGCCATGGGGTGGGGGGATCCTGGGAGCTGATACAAAGGAGAACTCATGTTCCCTTTTAGTGTTTTTACTGGAAAAGAAGCAGTTTGCATCTCCTCTACCCCGACCCCAAAGAAACTGTCCCTGTTGTGCTGCCTGTGACTGCTGGTTCCTGTCCCCGTGGCACAGCCTTGATGTGAGCACAGAGCACACTGGAGTGGAGCTCTGGGGGGGTTCAGAGGGCTGCACATCCCTTCAAAACCTCCTAGGAAAGCACAGGAGTTCTTGGTGACCCAGAGCCTGGACAGGATCTGTGCCAGGCACTGCCACTGGTGCATGGGAAGGCTTCGTTTAACTTCCTTTGCAGTGCAATGCATTCTTTGCACAACGTCAGAGTTTTACACCCAGCTGCTCTGCACTAAGTTTCCTTGCAGACCAAGAGCAGGGAATGGTGCTTGTGGCTTCCCCTCATCTGTGCAGTAACCTCAGCTAGAGTATCTGCTTCGGGAGAAGCTGTGACATCTCCCTACCCTGCCTTCAACAAAGGTGGACCAGCAGGAGGGATCCTTCCACCACAAGGTCCAAGGAGTGTTCCTGGGGGAACCAGACATCTCATTTCCTCCCTGCATCCATAATGCACGTTGCTATTGTTGTAGTTCTCTAATTCTCCCTCGATGGGACGTGGTTAACTGCAGGAAAAAACAGATGGGGAAGCATGACAGCTGCTGCTGAACTAAATCTGTTTAACTTTTCCCTGTTGTTTTAGTAAGTCTGGCCGTCCTGCAGGGAGTCAGGCACTGGGGGATGAGGCCTCTGCCTTCTGCATCCGGAAAACGTGCCGTGCTTTGTGTGGGGCTCAGTGGAAAATGAGCCCGAGTGTGGGGGGGTGGAGTGGGAGGGGAGCTGCCTGCACACACTGAATAGGCAGCTGTGTCTTCAGAGAGCCACACTGCACGTGGGACTGCTCTGCTGGGCATCTGGAAGGCATTAGGAGTCACGGGAGCTTTTGCTGGGAGAGGTAGAGAAATGGTATTAAGATTCATTTATATTCAGTTGGAGCGGGTATAAAGTCAGGGGGTTTAGCACAGTAAGTTAAAAAAATATGTTCTTGCTAGGCCTAAATGGAGGGAATGTTTAAGCAGAGAATTTAGAGCTATTACCTAAGGATTAGACAGTAAATGTTTCATATTACATTAGTAGGAGTTTTCAGAGTCTGTTTTCAGTAAAACAGGGAGAAGCTCTAATAGCTGATCTGCTTTCCATAAAACAGCGTGGTTTGAATGCTAAAGAAACATAATATATTTCAGCAAACATCCCTGCCCCCTCTTGACTTGGAAGGTGCCATCCTACAAGGCAGCCCTTAGTTCTCAAGTTGGACCTTGAAGAGTGCACGTGTCAAATAACTGGATGATCCAGGCTGGAGAAAGGGGCTTGTGTGCTTCAGCAGGCAAAGCAAGCTGTGTTTTAACTGAGAGTGTCTCCTCATGTAGTGAGAAACAAGCTAGGATTGAATGCTCCTGGGTTGCTTTTTTCCCTTCCCTTTCCTGAACCTGTTGCTGCTCCCAGTTATCCGTAGCTTTTTAGCCCCGGGAAAGAAAACAGCCTTGAAGACTCCTTGCAGGAAATGTGTTTCATTTAACACATTTCTCAAGAGTTTCACAAGTGCTCCCCTTGGTTCCAGAGAGTAGAGAATAAGGAATGCTGGATCTTGTCCCTGCGGCAGTCGGGGCTGAGCTTTCCTCTGGCCACCCCAACCTGCCCAGCTGGGCTGACATGCAGTGCCCATGTTTTTGGGAGCCAGTGCAGCATCTCTGCCTGTGTCAGCCAGCACAAAGCAGGGCATTGTCCCAGTGCCTTCCGTGCTGCCTTGCACGGGCTCTCCCTGTGCCTGGGCCCTGCTGTGCCCTGGGATGGAGGATGCAGGGGATGGGATCAGCTGGGCTGATCTGTGCCAGCAGGAACAGACCAGATGCTGTGGCAGACAGGACCCCTCAGAGCTGGGAAGAGGCAGCATGGGCAGATGGGAAGGATGAAAAGGGAACTTGGATGAAATTTGGAGTGGGTTGGTAGTTAAATTAAGCAACAGAGAATGTTTTGCTTTGTATTTCCCTCACGGTCCTGGTGTTTCAGCCAGAAAAGGCTGGCTGTGGATTCCTGCTGTGCCAGAGGGAGCACAGGCAGTCCTGGGATTGAAGTATACCCTGCCTGGGAAGCTATTCCCAGCCCTTTTGGCTTCAGCAAGGAGCCCAGCTCTGATCAAGTAGGCTGAGACCAGGCACGAAGATAACCCTGTACTTCTGGGGGAGGAGGAGCATTTCCAACAGCCAGCACAGCACAGATGGCTCGGGGAAGCCTCTGCTCCTGCAGACCTGTCTGTAAACTCCATCAGAGCCCAGGAGGAGCAGATGGAGAGTGGATGGAAATTCAGTGTTGGTGTCCAGAAGGCCATGCAGCAGAAGGTGTTAGCAAAGCCTCTGCTGGACCTTATCTGTGAAAATACTCCTGCTGGTGAGAAATGGGCTTAAACCCAGAAGAAGTGGGAGTGGTGTGAGGCACATCTGCAGTGGTGGCACAGAGCACAACATTTGGGCAGAGCCCATCTGCAGGACCCTGCAACACTGGGGCTTTTTCTAGGACTGGATTTTAAGAGGTACCAAATGCCTGCTGAAGTTTGGCTTAGTGCAGGTAACCATCATGGCTCATCAGTCTCTCTGGTCTAGGGAGGATTTTTCAGGCTCACTTCAGTATGGAAGAAGTTTCCTCTTGTTCTGAAGTTGGTCACAGCCCATTTCCAGGTGGCTGTCTAGATATTTCCACAAGAGCAGAGACGTGAAGGTGCAGGATTAGAGAGTGTTGGATAAGACTTTCCATGCACTTGGAGCTGTAAGTAAAGCAACTGGCTCTTTCTGTAACTCATGAAACCACCAAAGTGACCAGTGGAGGTGGGTCTGGGTCAGGCTAATGCAGGTTTGGTAGAGCCTGTCTTACTGTCTCCTTGAGTTGCCTTGGATTTTTCCAGGGTTGTTTTGTGCTGTGAAATGTGCAGACCTCTGTCATTTGCTGATCAGACATTGCTGTGTGCCAGCAGGTTGGAAATTTAAGCAAAATAAATGAGACATCTTTCCATCCAGCCCTGCATCTGGAAGGAAGGTTTACAGCAACATAATCACTGGATAAACCTCCTCACTGTTCCAGGCTGACTTCAGATGTTAGCAAAGCACTATGTCTTTAGTGTCTTTTGCCAACCTTCCTCTTCTGTAGAGTTTTCATTAAACATGTAAAATGAATTACGACCTTTCCAAAAAATACATGTTTGAAGGCAATCCCAAATAATACGTTTTGAGGTTAAAATCCATTGAGCCCCCAAAAGTGGTAATCCCTGAAAAGGCAGGGTGTGGGTCTGTCTGCAAACAAAAGAGGCTTCTTTTGTGATTTGATAGCAGAGGAGGAACTGAGAATTATAAGATTTATGGAAAAAGGAAAATTATGTGGGCTGATGAACTTGGGTTTGGGGCTTTTATTGAGACTTGGCCTGTTACCCTGATGATTAATGCAGCAGAGTGAGCTTCCTTCTCAGAGCCTGAGCTCATGCTGCATGTGTTTCTCTCACCAAAACACTGTTGGTTGCTATGAAATCCCCAAACAGCTTTGTCAGTGAATCAGTGTTCTCAGAGCCCTCAGCTACGGGGAGGTTTGCCTGCAGTGATATGAAAAGGCTTTTCATGCAGAAATCAGACACAACGATGCATTTTGAATGCTCCTCCCAAGCTCCTGGAAACAGGCCATGCCAGGATCCTACAGACACTTGCCCCTGGCTCTGCCCACTGCAGAGCAGGGCTTGGGGGACGTGGGGCAGCTGCTCTGACACAGGTGTTGGGTGTCTTTGATATGAGAGACATCTCTCAGTGCTTGTGAACCTCTTGCCTGCCTGCACCCTGAAACCCCAGGTGCCTTTGTAAGCTTGGCCTGTGTTATTACAGCAGCAAGTGAGGGATACTGACCCTCTGCATTTGCCAAGGCTTCTGCTGCTGGTGGTGCTGCTGTTTCTGTACCTCCCAGCCCTGGCAGGCTCTGATCTCCAGAGCCTCTCCCATGGCTACTCAGCAGTTTCCCATCTCACAGCAAATGGCTCCTATTCCTGGGCACCTCTCCTGGTTTCTTCAGCTCTGCCCCATCCCCCTGCCCTCTCCCAGCTCTCTAGGGGAGCCTGACCTTCAGTCTGCCCATGTGGGACTGACCCTTTGGTGATTTATTTTAGTGGCCCTTGTGTAGAAACCAGCAAACCGGGGCAGGGCTGGTTCCTTGGAGGCCATTGGCTGTGCTGGGCAGTGTAGCACAAAAACATGTTGAACATTAAAGGCTCCATTACAGCCTGAGCACCCACAGAGGCTCTGGGTGTGAGGAATGTTTGTGCCTGGCCACCTTTTCATGATTGGAAAAGAGATAAACTCTCCTGTGGGGTGAAAAGCCTTTCTCATCGACCGGTTAGTCACAAAGTCCGACCTTTGTGTGCTGTTTTGCCCCTGTATTTCATTTCCTGGGTGTTTAATCCCCTGTTCCTCCCTCTGCAGACCCAGCTCATTCAGATGGTGATATGGATGCTGCAGCACAGGCTCCTGATCCAGCTCCACACCTACGTGTGCCTGATGGTGCCCCCGAACGAGGAGGATCTCCGGGCCCAGGATGAAGACATGCCCTTCACTGCCAGAGTTGGAGGCCGAAGTCTGAGCACCCCCAACGCTCTCAGCTTTGGTTCTCCAAGTATGAGCACACCTGTCTCTGCTGTTTCAGACTCCAGCTCACTCCTAGAGCTCCCCTGAGCCCTGCCAAGGGCCAGCAGGCCTTGATAACGAGACCGCTCCTCTCAGTGGAGTCCTTGCTCATTAGGCCCAGCCTTTCTTAAATTCACACTGGCCACTGGTGAAAGTCCTAAGGACTAGTAGACCTTGAATTCTTCTTTTTAAAAAGAAGCAATGCTTTGTAATTTGCCAGGTTCTCATTTGGTCATGTAAAAGATTTTTATGAGAGGTGGTTCCATTTTTGTTTTTAAAGCAGCTCCCTCCTCCCTTGCTGCTCTCAGCAGTAACCCCCGTGTTCCTCTGGCTGCACCACTGTTACTGCCCAAACTTTGGATTTCAGGAGAGAAAGAAAACTGAGAATTTGTTTCAAACACTGGTTTCTGTGGGCTGTGGAGCCACCTGAGGAGACACAGAGCTGGCTCATTCTCACAAATGATTGATTTCTGTTTATGTCTCCTGACTTATTTAATCTCAGTGCCATTCTTCAGGGTGATTCCAGGAAAGCGTTTTTTCAAGAGCATGAGTCAGATACAATGCTAAAATCCCCAAACTTTCCTGCCTGTGCTGTTCTGAGCAGTGTTCCCAGGTTGGGTATGGGGAGAGATCCTCTGTACAACTTTGAGCTTTACAGAAGTCATGACTTAGGGCAGAAATCTTGGAATGTGAGTCAGATAAGTCTGTGATCTGCTTCTTCTGGCTCGCTCACAAGAGGATATTGCTTCTTGGCCTTTCTGCCTGCTCCCACCTTCTGTGCTTGTTAGGCTTTTCATGTTACCACTTCACGGTGTTCCAGCAGAGCTGGCTGGGAATTTTCTTATCAGATGTTTTTTATGGACTGTTTATGGTCTCCAGAAGTAGAGTTTTTCCACACAAATTGAGGACTTTGTTGAAGCATTTGAATTTCCCATTGAGAAAATGCCCGTGTTGTCATATGACTAATTGCAGATTCATGGGGCATTTGGAGAGCCACTTTCTCTGCAACACAAATCCGAAGGGATTAGTTGGAAAGGCTGCATGGAAATAGCCTGAATTGGTAATCTTTGCATTGTTATGCTGAGGAATATAAAGGCTGTGTGTCTCTCTGTCTCTCCCCCTGACAGCCAGTAGTGATGACATGACTCTGACAAGCCCTAGCATGGATAATTCCAGTGCTGAGTTGATACCTGGTGGGGACTCACCCCTGAATAAAAGGATGACAGAGAATCTCCTCGCCAGCTTGTTGGAACACGAGCGGGAAGCGATCCTGAACGTCCCTGCTGCCCAGAACCCTGAGGACCTGCGCATGTTTGCGAGGTGAGGAGTGAGGATGCAACTTTGTTGGTGTGGACTGAGCCAATCCCATTAGCCTGGGGGGTTGGAGGATACATTCCTTTGGGTTTGTCCCCCTTGTATCTGTTTCATGTGTGCACAGCAGTTTTTGACAAAAACTAATACCTGTGGCATAAGAACGCTTGTTAACAGAGTCCTGGGGGTGTGAAGCAGCATCAGGGCCTATGGCTGGGCTTCACTGTTTGCCTGCCAGTTCTTCCTGTGTCCACACGTGGCAGACACAAAACTGCCCAGCCTGAAAAACCCTTCTGAGCAGGCCAAAGTGAATAAGACCCAGTGGTGCTGATGCTGCCCTTTTGTGTCTGTTCATTTTAAGGTTTGTGAACTCCATGCAAGTATGAGACAAGGAGCATGAGACACAGAGCCAGCCTTGAAACCTTTTGCAGAGCAGTCTGTGAACGTTTCAAGGTGTGTTTTGCAGCAATGAGAGCTCCTTGTGTTAGGTTAATTAGGTTAAAGGCATTAGGGGGTGTGATTAGTAGCACACATTTTGTTGTTACGAATTTCCACACAACAATAACACACACGATGTGGTTCTGCACGTGGTGAGAGCAGAATGACTTCCTGAGCAGCCATCTGGGAAGAAGGGAGGGAGGGGAGGAAATGCTTTTTCTTCCTAAGGATTGCAAAACTCAGTGGCATCACTGGAATGCAACTTTCACTGCTTTTCATACTTGTGGGGCAGAAAACCACCCGAGGCAAGGGCTGCAGCTGTTCAGTACTCCTGGGTTCAGTTGGTAATCCCCTGGAAATCTGGTTCTCACCCTGGGGTAGTTACAGTCAGGTAGCCCAGGAAACTGCAACAGCAGGAAAATACTTTCCTTGTCTGCAGTAGAGTACAGCTCAGGGACTTTGACAGAGCTCTTGAAGCTTGTGGGTAGTTACTGCTCTCTGAATCACTCGTCTCCTTCATCTTCTGCAACTGTTCAGAGGATATTCTCTGATTGAGAGGCAACATTTTGGCCGTTTGAGAACTCTGAAGTGGTTTTTCCCTGTTACCAGCTAAGTCATTACAAAACCAGTGAGAAAAGAAAGTAAAAACAAAATCATATTTAATGATATCTTAAGACAGAATTTGTGGGGGGACTCTTTGGACCAGTTCAGTAACAATGCAGATTCTTATTTATCCTAGGGAGAGGAAAGCATGTTGTGATTGCTCCCCTCTCACTTCCCTCATCTGGGTAAAGCAGCCATTTGAAAAAGCTTTGGAACTGCAGATGCAAAAAATGACTCTGATTCCTTTGTGAAAGCAGCTGCTGTGACCAGGCAGCTGAGTGATGTGAATTGTGCAGTTTGCTCCTGCACCAGGTTCTTTTGCAGATCTCCAGGATGGCCTTGCTGGGTCTGAATTTCCAGTGTGCTACAGCTTGGATTGACAAGTGCTCAGGGTGCTCTCAGAGGCAGTGAGGGAGGGAGGAGATACAATAAACAGATGGGTCCTGTGGGCACACACAGAAATGTTCGTGCAAGACCCTCTTGGTTACCAGTGGCTGTTTTAGACACCATAACTTGGAGGCTGTGGGTGTGTTTTCTCTCTTTTTGTGCCATAACCCTCAGAAATGAGTGTTTGGGTAACTGTTGCTCTCAGTGAAAGGGTAAAGAGCTGTGGAGAAGCTGCAGTGAGGGAGCTGCTCTCCCTCATTACCCTCATGCAGGTGCTGCACCAGCCCTTCCTCTCCTGAGTTCTGAGGACCAGCAGCCCACGGGAGGCTGTGCTCTGGCAAACAGCTCTGCTGGCTCAGCTGCCTCCCAGAGCAAAGTGCTATAAATGCAGAGCTAGTGCCCTAAATATCCCGTGCCTGCCCTTCCAAGGGGGGCTGTGTGTGCACACTGAGGGATGGGCTGTTTCCAGCACAGCAGGGAACTTCAGCCTGGTACATTTTCCTGTGCTGACACCTCTGAGCCCGTTCCTCGTTACACAGACCCGTGTAATGACAGGGACACAAAGTGCTGCTGCCTGTCCAGGGCTGTGCACAGCTCCTCTTTGCAAGGCACAAACCTCAAGGGGAAACAAGGAATACTGGCCTTGGCTCCAGCATTGGCTGCATTAACCCTCATAACAGGAATGGGAATTGAAATCAGAGTCCTTTCCTTGGGTGCAGCTGGAGGAGGGTTGGCATGTCCTTCCAGAACAAGCTTAAGAGGGAGACAAGTTCCTTTTGAGCTGGATCTTGGGTAATGTACACAAAGCATTCCTCACTGCATGTAAAGCAGGGCTTTTGAAGGAGTCTGAGGCTTCACTCATGGCTTTTCTCCCAAGCCATGGGTGTGGAGTTGCTTTCAGGATTTATTTTTCTTGCTCTTAGATGGGGAGGTGAGATCCTTTACTCCACTTGGAATGCTCATTGGCAGCACCAAGCTGTGGACAGTTCTGCTCCATTTTCAGGCAGTGCTGTGGAAGGGATATCTTGGCCAGAAAGAAGCTAATTCTGTTTGAGTGACTAGTCTGAGATAACTGTGGGGGTTTTTAGTGTGTAAGGACACTGCAGTGCTGTTACAGGGGCAGCTCTTGAAGAGGGGAGAGCAGTGATGAGCCATGGAAAGCAATAATCTCCCGTCACTGCATCTGGATCTGGCCACAGCAGACACTCTGTGCAGCTTCAGAGGGACTCAAATGCAGTGCCACTGCCCCAAGAAGTGCCATCTTGTGCTCTTTGTGTCCCACAAATGTTCATTGCCCAAAAAAGTGAAGGTAGTGCCCATCTCCACTGGAGCTGTTGAGCCCCAAGTACAGCTTTTAGACTCCAGTTGGACTTTAGGTAAAAGCTCTTCCCTGGGAGGGTGGTGCAGCCCAGGACAGATTGCCCAAGCATGTGGGGGGATCTCCATCTCTGAAGGGTTTGAGCTTGGCTGGGAAAAGCTACAGCATTGGCAATAGTCCTGCTGGAGCAGGGTCCTGGACTGGGCTTTGGAGGTGTCTTCCAGACGAGATTTTTGTGATATTCTTTAATATCCTCCCTAGCTTTTATTGGAGTGGAAAATATTTGATCTTGACCCATTACAGATCCAAACTTTCTGAATATAGGATGGATTTATTTGTTGGAAAGCTGCTCAGTCTGTGTTGCTGTGGAAAGCCAGGCTGTGCCATTTGCACAGAACAGGCGAGCACATGGGGCTGGCACAGGCAGACAAGACACAAAATCACTTTGGGAACAGTGACACAAGTTATAAGATACAAAAATTTCTGTTGATGCCTCAGGGAACAGCCTGGTTTTGACACACAAGTGACACTGTCCCTGGGAATGGCCACTTTTAGCCTGAGCAGCAGAAGGCAGCCAGGCAGGTGTTGGTCCTGCAGGGAAAGCATGAGAGGCCCATCCTGCTGCCATGTGAGAACAGACAGGAATGCTCTGGTGGATACTGGGTGTATTTTAGGGCTGTTCCTGCATGAGGGCTGTATGGATGGGTTGGAAAACAGATCATGTCATCTCCACTCAGCTTTACTGTCAGTTGGCATGAAGCTGCACATGGGTAATGGAACACGAGCTGGAGTGCAGAGTGTGATGTGTAACACATGTGGATGCACATCTGTCTGTGGAGCTGGGGAGGGGTTCTGGCATTTGGGCCTTGATGGGTGGGAGCATTGGAGTGACACGTGCAGGATGGCTCTGACATTTGGGAGGGTGGGACAAGAGACTGAGCAGCAAATTTGGGCTGTGATTGACTGTGCAGGGCCCAGCTTAGCTGATGGCTGTAGCATGTGGGTGATATCTGTGCTGTCTCTGTTTAAAGAGAACTGGGAATTTAAGAAGCCAGCATAGTTTGAGCTTAGGCTTTAGAGTTCGGGGGCTTATAACTCCCAGAGCTTCTCTGTGGTGCCTGTCACCAAAATTTCCACCTCCCTGTTGTGACTGCTCCACCCAGCCCAAGCTGCCCAAACCCTGAGTTTGGGTTTTGTAACCTGTAGTTACAAAGCCCCTTGGGCTGCTGTGAGGGGAAATTTCCTCTTAATTCCAAAAGCCAGTGTAGGTACCCAGGCCCCTGGTGCAGAGCTGTGACAAAGGGCACTGTAGGCCCAGCTAAGAGAGAGCAAAAGTAAATGTGCCACGTCCTGACTTCTCGAGGCTTGTTTGCACTTGTGCCTCTCCCCTTTCAGGAGGTATAACTATGTTGAAAATTGCCAGCCTTGGGAAATGCCACAGGCTGGGAAACTTCTTGATCTAAGGAGGACCTTGGCAAAGCCCCTGCTTTTCCAGGGGGTTTCTGTGCTGGGCATGATTTAATGGTATCATTATTTAATTCATGCAAATGAGGGACACAACCCAAACGCCTTCTGATTTGCATCCCACGGGAGGGGACACCTTGGGGGTGGCAGGATGGGCTCTAGGCGTGTGCAGGTGCTTTCGGCCCACGTGCCCCCCTTGCTCTGCTCCCACAGGCTCCTGCACTACTTCCGGGGGCGGCACCACCTGGAGGAGATCATGTACAACGAGAACATGCGGCGCTCGCAGCTGCTGATGCTCTTCGACAAGTTCCGCAGTGTCCTGGTGGTCACCAGCCACGAGGACCCCGTGATTTCCGTCTTTCAGTCCCTCCTGAAGTGACTCTGCTGGCACAGGAAGGGAACCTGCCACGCTCTCCGTGTCTAAAAGATGCCTAAACGCTGAAGGAGGTGATTTCTCGCCACGTGGCACAGAGCAGGTTCTCCCCCTCCTCCATGTCCCCCCTGCTCGCCGGTGACAGCCGAGGCCACTCTGTGCCGGGCTCTGGGCCTGCTGCAGGACAGCACGTGCCTGCCCAGCCAGGGTTCCTGCTCTGCCACATCCACAGCCCTTCCCTGCCCCTCCTGCCCCCGGGGACTGTGACAGAGGACAAGGAGAGTTCCCCTGTGGGGCTGCTGACAGACTGTCACCTTCTGCTGGATGCTGGTGCATCGAAAGTGCTTCCTCTGCTCTCCAGCACGACTCCTGAGCCACTCAGCCATGTCCCCACAGCACAGCCTCTGCTCCAGGCACAGTGGAGCTGGCCTGGATTACAGGGAAATGACCCTGGGTACCGAGGAGTTCTGTTGATCGTTGTTACCTGAGGACGTGGACAGGAAGGCAAAGGATCACAAGTAAACAATTCCATGAATGAATGAGTGACTTGCTCACTGTGTCACAGCTCGTTCTTCCCTCACCCCAGTATCCTCTTCCCAAGTGTCTGTCTCCAAGCAGCCTGTGTGCTCCTGGGTTTCAGTGTTTCCGTTTTTTTCTGGGGGTGGGAGCTGGGTTGTTGAGCAGGACTGAAATGAGTGGCCAAGCTGCAAGTGCACGTGTTCCACACAGCCAGAGGCTGGTCCCAAGGGCACCTGGGCTTGTCATGTCCTGCCATTCTCCTCACCCAGGCATGGCTGTGGATGCTGGGAACCAGACTGGGATCCTGGCCTGGGTTAAGGCTATCCAGGGAAAAATGAGATCGGGGTCTGTGTTTCCTGGTGTGGTTTGGGACTGCTCCTCCAGCCATGCCAGGGCCAGAACAAGAAGTGACAGCTCTGGTCCTGGGGACAGCAGGACTCGTGTCAGCTCACCCTGGCCTTGTGGGGCCACTTTTCCCACAGCTGCTCCCTGCTGTGTGCCCAGGGAAAGGCAGGGAGAGCTTTACCTCCACGGTGGCAGCTTGCAGGGCTTTGTTGTTAAAGGGTTGTCAGGCCCCTCCTGAAGTCCTTCCCTCACACTCAGCAGCTGGAGTTTTTCCCAGGGCTGCAGGCTCTCGGGAGAGAGCCCACACAAACTGGGCGACACCAGGAGCTTTATCTCACTTACCTACCCAGCAGCAAAGCACTGGGGGAGGTCCAGCAGCTGGGAAAACAAACAGAACCCATTCTGGTCTCCAGGCTGGACACTATGGAAGGGTGTAGGTTGGAAGGGGTCTCTGGAAGTCTTTTGTGCAAACCTCTGCTCCAAGGAAAGGTGTCAGATCAGGTCACTCAGCAGCCTGTCCCATGGAGGTGTGAACATCCAACAGCTCCTCTGGGCCCCTGTTCTAGCGTTTGACCACCCTCATGGTGAACATTTTTTCCACAGAGCTAATGAGAGTTTCCTGTTTTCCCACTAATGCCCATTGCCTCATCCTGTCTGACAGCAGCCTGGCTCTCTCTTCTCTACACCCTCCCATGAGGCAGTTGCAGATAACAGTAAGATCCCTCCTTTGTCTCCTCTCCCAGCTCTCATCCCTTCAGTCTGCCCTGCTGCCATCCCATTTTTTGACTATTCCCCTCTGCTGGGGGCTGGGGCAGTGGGAGCAGCACAGCAGAGCTGGGAACCTTCTCCACTCACCCACCCTAATTAAGCCTGGATCCATTGGTAGGGGAGAAAGTGGCCTTCAGTGTCCAAACCAACATCAACTCTGGCTGGGAGGCCCTGTCAGCCCTGCAAATAAACTCCACCTTGCCCCACTTGTTGTGACAAAGTACATTTATTAATAGTTAAAAACCCCCAACCCCTGCATCTGCCACGATGCAGCCTGAGGTCCTTGCACAGAGCACAGCTCAAGTCCTGGCTGGTGGCACCCTTGCAAGACCTGTCAGCTGCAAGACAAGGGTCCCCTTGCTGCCATCTCTCTCTCCGTTTTCTTGTCTACAACACTCACGAATTTGTTCCCTCGTAAATAAAACCTGAGTGGTTTCTGTGCCCACTCCCCCCTGTTGCCAATGCCAATCCTCGTGGTGGTCACCACGTCCTGCTCCCCGGGCAGGTCCTGTCCAGGCACCATCCAGATGTCAGTGTCCTGAGTCAGGTCCCTCTGGTCAAAAGCCTTGTCGATGCCAAAGGCCTGGCAGAGCCTGGAGGGCCCGTTGCAGAGCTGCCAGTCCTTGAGCAGCTTGCTGGGGGCTTTCCTGGAGGTCCTGCGCAGCTCCCTCATGGCATCCAGGCCCTGGAGAGGCTCCAGGGAGCGCAGCAGCACTGCAGCCCCTTCCCCTGTGCGGGACAAGAAGGGGGTGTTAGTGCAGGGTGGTGGTTGGGAACACCTGAGCCCACAGCAGTGCTCAGCTCTGAGCCCCTGGCCCAGCCCCATGGAGCAGGGAATTGCCTGCAGCTCCTGCCCTTCACTCCAAGTGCCAGCCTCTGGAATCAGCCCGTGGGCAGTGCCTCCCTCTGCCTCCTCCCACTGTCCCACAGCTCTGAGCTCTTTATTCTGCTTTGCTCTTCACAGCCCCACTTGATGGTACCAAGTCTTGCTACTGAGACTTGCCAGAGGGCAAGAGGTTTTTCTTTTGTCAGCACAATGTTCAGGAATAAATAAACACACATATGGTTCAGTTTTGGCACAGCTACCCAAAGCTGCTCCCAAACCCAGTGGATTTCTAATAAACTCTGATTACAAGAATTCCAGCTAATAAAGGAGAAGAGGAATGAGTGTGGATGCTGCCAGCAGAAAGAGGCAGCTTGCAGAGTTGGGCTGGACAAAGAGAAACCTGGGAAGGAGCTGCAGGCACTGGGAGCAGCTGCTGCTGAAGGAGCCCGGGCTGCAGGTGGTACCATTCCAAACTGCCATGGAGGTGTGACAGGCCTTGGGTAACTGCAGAGAGTGATCCAAGCCCTCGTGCCAGGGCAGCTCTCCCAAGGCAGGGACCTGGGGCAGGACAGGCTCCACAGTCCAGCTGTGGGATGCACAGCCCTGGGAGCAGCACTTCAGCAGAGAAGACCTTTCTGTGACAAGAACTGAGGAAAACTGACGGAGTCTCTTCTCAAATGGGATCCGCCACCCTCCCAGCTGCTGCAGCCAGCCAGCTGCCTTCCCTGGTGTTGGTGGCAGCGAAGCAAAGATGCAGCTCTGAGAAGACATTCCCTGGGACAAGGATCTCCAGACTAAGAGGGACGTATACACTTCCTTGGTGTCCAGGAGACAGCAGGGAGGTCTTCTCCTGACCCTGAGTGGGCAAGGAGAGTGCCTGGCACAGCCTGTGCTGCCCCACACAGCTCCCCTCGTGCCGGGGCCGCCCACAGCATTCCCGCTGCCGGCATCCGCCCGCTCCCTCTCCAGCCTCCAACATCTGGAGCCCTGCTCACGCCTGGCACAGGCTTTTCTTGTAGGCACTGACAGATCCCCAAGGACTTGTGATTTCCAAAAATAGAATCCCTCTCATACTTTGTACAAATCCCACACTAAATTACCCTCCTGGGCTCCCAAGGAGGACCCGGGTTCTGGCTCTGGAGGTGCTGCCTGTTGCCCTGAACGTTCTCCGAGCCCCTGCTGCCCCCAGTGCAGCTCGGTGAAGTCAACAGCCTGATTTCCAACAGCTGTCAGCAATCTGTTCCCAGGCACTCCCTTCTCCAAGGAGGGGGATTGATGCTAATCTGGCAGCCAAAAGCCGCTTCACTGGACTACAGTGACTTAGAGCTCAAAGGTCATTTTAGATTTTTAAGAACATGTTCCATGTCCTAATTCTGCTTTTTATCCATGCACAAAGAAACATCCTTCGCATCGTGTTGCTGCCTCACTTGCCAGGAACAACTCTGGGATTCTGAACAATCACTAATTACACTACTTGCTTTCATCCATCACAAATGCAAGTGGAAACTGTGGTCACACTTGAACTGAACCGAGTCCTTGGGAGTTCATGTGAAGAGAGACAAGCACTTGGAGAAACTGCAGGTGCTCCCAGAGCATCCCAGGGCCCTGGGAGGGGGTACCAGGCATTTCTGTCTCTGGCTGCTCTTCCTGCATTTCCACCTGGAAGTTTCCATGCTCTTTCCAGCTGTGTGCTGGAGACATCATGCACTGCCCACTCAGCAGCCCCCGAGCATGACAGCAGCTCCCCAAGAGCTTTGGGAAGAGGTGGAGAGGGCAGGCAGGACAGGAATGTGGGGATGCCACAATGAGCTACTGCCTTCTTTGCCCCCATGCCCCTGGGTCCTCCTGAACACACTTCCATACCAGAAATTTTATTTTAACTCCTGAAGAGTAGCTGAATCCTTGCAACTCAACTCCTGCCTGCCAGGGTGCTCCAGCCTGCCTCCCTCCCCCTGCCAGCCTGCAGCACTTTGCTCTCAGGGCTCACCTGGCTTTGGCATCTGCCCCACACAGATGTGGCCCCTGACACACCAGGGCCAATTGGAGATTGGAGAGCAGCATTCAGATTTAACAACAGCACAGAGGCCAATTCTCTCCCTGAGCAGCCAGAAATCATAAAATGATAGTGAAGTCCCACTCCCCCGCTGTGCAGCTTCCTGCTCCTTCCCTGACACGGCTCCAGCTCCCACTTGGAAACAGCTCTTGGCCACTGGAGAGAAGAAAATTTTCTCCTCTCTTCACCCGTGTGACTCACTGCTCCCAAAACACTTCCTTCAAAGTCCTAGTCTAGGATCTGAAAGGTAGGGAGAAGCCCATGCAGTGTGACCCTGGGCTGAGCATCACTGGGCTCTCGGTGTTACGAGCTGCTCTTTCAGATCTGGCAGCAAAATGCACACCTTGGCACATTCCAGAGAAACAAATCACAGCTAAGTCAAGGAGAAGGATGACTGGCATTATCCTCTTCCCGAGGCGAGGGAAGCCCAACATCCCTCTTAACTCTGGGGAAAGCTCTTTGTACTAAGGTTATTGTGCTGCTCAGGATATACTGTAGGATTCATGCACACTACAAGACACTGGTTATATTTTTTCTATAAGCTCTTCTCCTCTATCATCCACGATTTCTCCAGAGATAGTGATGCCTGCCATGGCTTCAGGCAGTTGCAGTACTTTAATCAGTGATGGGAAGACCTCTCACAGTGAAATCCCACATGATGCAGCTTTATCTAGTGACATGCACAAAGATTTCCCCTTCCTCAGTGACAAAAAAAATATTGGAACCCACCCCTCAACTCATGGTTTTATGAACACAGTGCTGCTGGTGACACACTTTTCCTATGCCTCAGTGACACTGCTGAGCTTGAACTCGAGCATAAACCAATACAGCAAACAGAGGGGAAGGTTTATTCCACCTGGAGTTAAACCAGACAATGCTACGAGGCTGTGTATCAAAACAAGTGATCTCTGAAGAGCCAGAGTCTCACGAGCCAAACACTCCACTCTGGACAAGCTCAGCAGAGGGAAGCAAGGAGGAGCAGCATGTAAAGCCTGGTCCCTCTCGGAGGGGCTGCAGATCCTGGGCTGGTC